TGATAGTCGATGATATAAATTAATTTTCCTTTTTTAGGTTGCCCTGAGCAGGGGAGGGGTCTAAAAAAGTTCAACCGATCTTGGAATTTTTTTGGGGGCACGTTCCCCCCCCCCCCCCCCCCCCCGTAGCTACGGGCCTTGCCCTGAGACACAGACAGATTCTACATCCCTGGGGTCGTCTCATCAACAACATCAGCTTAAGCGTCTCTCAGTTCATCTATGACACCGTGAAGGAGGAGGAGTAGTATGAAGAGGAGGAGGAGGAGGAGGAGGAGGAGGAGGAGGAGGAGGAGGAGGAGGAGGAGGAGGAGTAGGGGAAGGAGGAGGAGGAGAAGTAGGAGGAGGAGGAGGAGGAGGAGGAGGAGGAGGAGGAGGAGGAGGAGGAGGAGGAGGAGGAGACGGAGAATAAGGGGGAGGTTAGCGTCGACGAGCATGGAGCAGTCACTGGGGAAATACGAGATCTGACTCCCCCTAAGGTTCGTTCAAAGGAGGAATGGACAAAGGAGAAGGAAATATAATGGGACGAGGATGATAGCGATGAACTTTATACAACTATCACCAAGAAGCTCCTTTTGGTGAGAAGAAAGAACCAGTGGGCATTCTCCCCCTTCATTGTTGATCGTGATATGGCTTTGATTAAATTAAGATAACTTATATGTAAGAGTGGTCGGCAGTATTGATATTATCATAAAATTTGATTTGACATGTTTAAATTTAAGAACTGCCATATAGGCTGATCTTTGCACGTTATTTATACATTATCGTTCTCAATGTTCTATATTTGAATCTTAAAATAAAATGAGAAATATGCAAATTCATTTTATTGAATAATACACTATAGCTTTATTTAACACAGTCATGTACATAAAACACCGTCCTAGTAGTCAATGCAAGCTTTCAAAAACTGTAAGTGAAAACATGAACAAGTTCGTAATCCCTACTCTGCTTTTGTTATTTTATTTGAACAGTGAAATAGCAGCATGAGCAAGCCGCCATCATCACCAGCCCCGTCCCCTGTAAATCGGGTGCATCACAGCGATGTAAAACAGCCGAGTCTCGAGAGATAATGCATGAATGATATCGGAATGCATCTCAAGTTCATTCCTACGTAATAAACGCGGTGATGAGGATCATATCGATGGTACATGTATCATCAAGGTCGTCTGTTGCAATGTCGGAATAAAGATGAGGAAAACTTCATGGTAAGCAGAAGAAAAATAATCGAACTGTTTTCTTTTAAAACTTTTCTTGTAAGTCGAAATATTAATATGAATATTTCAAAAATAAGATAAGATTGGGTGGACTAATCTAATATGAACACCTTATAATTTAGCCTTAACCTGTAAGATTAACTTGACAGAGTAAACTATTCAAACAGTATTTAGTAATTCATTAAAATAAAACTGAACCGTTTAGCCACGTGTATAATGTTAATTAATCACTTATTTCTTCTTACTTGACTATTTTACAGGGAACTTAAAACAACAGAGCAGGACCTATGATGCCCATCAACTCCACGACAGGTCTAGGTAATCAACTACCCTATATTGCCATGACTACAACCATTGGCTACTGCTTTTGTGCCATGATAGATACATTCAGCATATATTTGGTTAAAATAACGCAGTGAACCTCGGTAAGAAAGTACGGTCAACAGAAAAATACTGGGAAACATGGCCAAATACAACAGAATAGGTTCATATTATTATGAGCCATCTTCAATGTTGAGCTTCACATGCCCGCGAGTTGCTTGAGTTTTGACACAGATCATGAAGGATCTCATCGCTGTACACCCCGCCCTGAAAGAGGGAAACGTAACGCAGAGAAAGCCATGGACTATATTAAATTCCCGAAATGTGTTCTGAACATATCGGTTGAGTTGAGTTTACTCAAAACAATAATAATCAGAAACATAGATCATGAAGGAAAAAAACAATCGCTTTACATCCCTCTTAACAAGAGGGCAATGTAACAACTAGAAGGTTGTGGATCGGTATTCCTCTTTGATGAACGAAATTGAGCCACTAAACACAGCAAGAACAGAAAGAAATTACAACCCCAAACAGAAACAGAACCCGCACTAATTATATGCAAGAATCCATCAGATCATGCACCAAATAATAGAAAAATTATTGTGACGGCAAACAACAAGAACAATAACATTATGAAATACTTTGAAGCATGCGTTTGATATGGTTGCGTTTTCTTTTTGATATTTTATGTAGTGCATATTAATGCATTAAACTAGAAAGTTTGACTTATATTGCGAAGTTAGCAGGCTCTACACGATGTAGATAATATTGTCCCGTTTACTGTTATTTGATTGACGGAGGTTCATTCCTCAAAATTTCCAGTCAACGAAGAGAGCAAATTAGGTAGATAGACAGATAGATGTATAGATATTTACATTGTAGATAATTATATACATAGAGAGAGAGAGAGAGAGAGAGAGAGAGAGAGAGAGAGAAGGAGAAAATATGATTTTTGTTGTTGTTGTTTCTTTGAGGTCGATTATTCTAGCATATAATTATTTTGATGAGCAAAAGAATGGGGCAGGCGGAGAGATGGGGATAATAATTATATTTATGATTTATGAATGAGGGAGGGATTACTAGGAATTACAAAAAGATATAGCCTAATGTATAAAGTTATAGATAAATATGTATAATTGTAGATAGAAAGATAGATACGATTTCTTGACTGAATAAAATGTTCAAAAGATTTGAAAACCTCCCTCGGTGGAACTTAATATGAACCCATCTCAATCAAAAACTCGACATGCCCTATCAAAAACAAAAACAAAACACGTTGAAAGGATGGGGGCAAATTTCTGACAGGGAATCATTGACTCGACCTAAATGCTAAAGATCTTTTCCGAATCAATATCGGCCCAATAATATAGCTTGGAGCCCTCATTCAACCACGTAGAAATGGGGAAACACTTGAGTATCTAATCTGGCATTCTCTCCCTTCGCGCGCGGGCATGAGCCTTGGTATCCGTCGGATAGCCCGAGAGGAAAGAGAGAGATGCCTAGTCATCCATTGTGATATGGAGGGCATCCTTTTTGTCTCGCTCGGACGTTCTCGTTCTTTATTTCTCTACCGATCAAACATCAATCCGCTTTTCTACAACTTCCTCTTTCTTTATCTCTCTCTCTTTCTCTTTTATGCCTCCTTATATCCCCTCTCTCTTTAGTCTCCTTGCGCCCCGCCCCTCTCTCTCTCTCGCTTGCTTCTTTACACACCCCTCTCTCTTTCCCCTCCATTTCTTATTTATATCCCGTTATTCTTTCCTTGAGGTTCTCATTTACTCATTCTCCCATTTATCTCTCCATTAATGTCTCCATCCCTTCTCCCCTGATTTCCTTCCACCCTGCATGTCTCTTCCCCCAGCAGAGACTATTTTGTTGTGTTTTGTGTATATATGTATTTTCTTTCTTCACTCCTCGAAGGTCTTGTGTCACCTATTGCTAGACTCTATCATCAGTCTCTCACCCTCTCTCTCTTCCTCTTTCCCCCAAACTATGTCTAAGTCCTCGTTTTTTTCTTCTACACAGCTCAATACAAAATAAAAAATGGACAAAAGATTGAGGAAACTTCACCTTCTTACTAAATACAGGTAAAAGAGAGCTCTTGGAAACTATACTTATTTCCCCCCTATGAATTAACAATGTATGACAGCTATGGTTTTTTTGTGGATGAAATTAGAAACACATTCACTCAATCACACACTCTGCAAATTCTACACAGAAACAATGGACCTAAATGTTTGCATACTAAAGAACAACACATTACAAAGCCAATTCTACAAGTCTATGTACAGACTATACATTTTATTTGATGAATATTCAAATATACACATTCAATCTTTTGTTGTGTCAGTACCTTTTCACATAGAAAACACTGTACAAAATATTGAGGCATTCAAATCCCAACTCCCTGTTTCATTGAGGGCAATTTCATTGATTTCGAGAAACATAGAGAGAAACTAATAACATTCTACCAAAGGCACCTTCTTAAATTACAGGTTGATAAGAATGCTATATTTGGAGAGAAGTATGTGATATATTTAAAATTTCTAAGCATAATACCATTATAAAAAAGAGTTTTCCTCAATATTTTTGAGGAACTTATATAATATAAAAAATAATCAGTGATCTATTTTCTATTCCTAGAAATCTGAGATATCAATTGACAAATTCCAAGTACTAATTAATTTGCCACGACACCAATGGATGATCATAGCAAATCTTAATACCTGAAAGTCATTAATTGCATTGAAAAATGCTATACAAAAATCAAAACCAGATACATGTAGATGTATGTAGTACTATACATGTATATATGTAACTTCAAAGCTATCAACATTGAAAACAGCAAAACATGTTCATGACTTTGGATGGGGAGGATGGTAAATTAACTGCAGAACTCTACATAGATGTTTTTCGTTGCTATGTGAAACATCTTTTAGGCAACGCAGATATTACTCTTCTTAGACACAAGACAATTTGGTCCATGGAGCCTGATATAGTCTTGACCATCGATATCAGAGACTGTAGCTTTCGGTCTAGGGCTATGAAGTTAAATTCAATTCTAGCGACATATGTGAAATTGGGAATGTTGGACAAGGGCAAACTGTAGCAATCCAGAGGGTTCCGATCCTCCTGTAAAAACCATTATAGTGAGTCTATAACAATAGTAAGTAGATAAACTGTATTGTTGTACAAGAACAGCGGAAACAGTCACGCCAATCCTGTGGTACATCTGCAGTATAAGTGAGGCATGGGCACATGTAGCACAAGTCCATGCTATGACAATAGAAATAGTCCTTTCACTCCTGTATATTTTAGTTCCCCATATCTTATCTGCAGCACATAAATGTAAAAGACACATCCCATTGCCATACTGAAAATCGGAACTGTCTTTGCCACATCTGCAGCAATGGTCGAGGCTCACATAAATGGGGTAATGTGGAAAGATGCTTGCTATGATGGCACTGGACTGCCACACAAGGTTGACTGTGGCACTCCCGTTTAGTTCCAATGGTTGACGAAAGCAGTTAAAGAGTTAAGCTCCACTTCATCCAGTTCAATACATCCCCAGTTTTGCTCAAGATGCAACTCTACATATAAATGTACATTGTGTGTGTGTGTGTGTGTGTGACAAAGGTTGACTGTGGCACTCCAGTTTTCTTCCAATTGTCAACCAAGGTAGGTAAAGAGTTAAGCTCCACCTTGTCCAGTTCAATGCATCCTCCAGTAACAGCCAAGATCCAACTCAACATATACATGTACATTGTGTGTGTGACAAAGGTCGACTGTGGCACTCCCGTTTCGTTCCAATGGTCGAGCAAAGCAGGTGAAGAGTTAATCTCCATTCAATTCATCCCCGTTGTCAATCACGATGCATCCGGTCTTTGTACACGAGTGTGCTCTTGCAATGGAAACTGTCCTTTTAATCGTGTCTGTTTATTGTGCAGCAGTGGCGGCTGAAGAAGCAGGAAGGGTTGCGCTCTGGAGGCGATTCTTTCGCTCTGCTTCCATCCTCTTGGCTCTCTCCCAGATCTGCCTCGTCAAAGATGGCTGACCAAGTGATAAACTCAGTAACCTGCATGATGCAAAATACAAACAAAAAGCATGTTTCATCCTTTCTAGCAAAAAAATAAACAACTTACATACCAAATGCCAATCCGTGAAAGCTTTACCTCAAAAGATGAATAATTTCACCTACATCCATTTTGCATCATTATGTTTGAAGTCTGTAATATATTTTGCATATATTGGGTAATGTTCATTAAGGAAATCAGTCATAATAGGGTTCAATGTGTTAACTATCACCATAAAAGGAAAACAATAGATCAATGTTTGTCTGCAGATTGCACTGATATCTAGTGAATGATATGAATGCATATAACAAGTACACGTTTGTGTCAATCTTTTAATTGAAAATGAAGTTTGATGATGACTGATTTACCCGACTGCTTGCTAAGAAAGTAGGGACTGATGGCTTTAACACCTCTCTGAGAGACTTGGTAAAGAGTATTAATGCCTTAAAAGAGTGCACAAGCACATTGATTTGGTTCCGAACCCAGGACTTCCCTGTTACAAGACCACTGCTCTACCACTGAGCCATGACGCCTCCTCAAAATGGGTGATCATGCAGTTTTGCAAAGTATTGGATACATGTACGTCTTTATATTTGTTCTGATGTGTATATGAGACAGCAATTAAAGAAAAGATGTTCACAAATTTGAGATTTCAAGTTCATATCTACTCACCTTGTGATGACAAGAAGATGTTGGAAGTCTTCAGGGGTCATTTTGTTTGGGTCGCCCTTCCTAGCTTCAACAAAGTCTTCTTCAACAAACTGTGAAGAAAAGAAAGGACATTGATTCAACAGAGAATAGAAACCAAATACCGATCCTTGACACTATTCATTTCAAACACATAATTCAAAATGCCATGTTTTGACAGAGAGGGTGGGTTGGATGGGGTCCAAACATTGTGACATACATACATGTAATAGCCTTCTGTTAATAGCTAACATGCCGAGACATTCACACAAAACAAAATTAAAAGGGACTCTTCTATTGACATATTTAGTCTGCAGTCAATTCTTACACCGAATGAATCCTTACATTTATACATTCTTACGCTATCATCATTTCCCTCACCTGAAGACTCTCTAAGGGTGCGTTTATCGGGTCTTGCCACTAGATATGTATATATCGAGCCCCACTATACGAATGTGATTTTCGGGATGTCGCGTTTATCGTCTCTTAATGATTAAAAATAAAGGCCTTGTCTCTGCGCAACTGCTTTGCGCCGTTTGACCCGGGAAGCAGAGAGTTGCTCGGAGGTCAACTAGGGCATAGCACATGGTGCGTACTATTTCGCTGAACCGGAAATTAGCCGGGGAAGGTCCGATTCGTATGTGGGGTTCAAAACAGTTTTGCGTTTATCATGTCTCAGAATCGTGATTCTGGCTGTATGTCACATTCAAAACTCACCTTTTTCAGTGTTACAATTAATATGCCCATATCTAAAGACGTTTGAAAAAGGCTTTGCGTTTATCACCTTACAAATTTGCCTGAAAGACGTTTGAGAAACCTGATTCTAGGCAAAAAATGGGTCAATAAACGCACCCTAAAAGACTAAGGGGTACATGTATTTCTTGATTAGACCACGAATTTGCTGTGTGTGAGACTCTACACCCATTAATGGAAATTTCACAATGTCTGGTGTCAGCGAAATTATGACCGTCTGCACAGGAAAACTGAGGACCATCTCCTTTTAAAGGCATCGTTTAACAATGTTAAATCTCATATGCACGGCCCTATGTGTTATCAGTGGCTGTGATAGGGTGTACTCTTGAAGCCCTAAAAATATTGTGCTTCAAAATGATCAAGAAGTGCCTCAAAAAAGTAAAAATGTTTGAGTGACTGGTTTTACCATACTTGTTTCCCCAAATAGACTGTAGTGCAATGAAAACCATTAGGAAAACACAAATTTTGATTTTGACTTCCAATCATAAATATCTTGATAATCAGATAGGCGATCGGCTTGTAAAAGTCATGGGGTTCCTGACTGACCTAAAGGTTTATAATTATGATTGCAGCATGAGCTAAATCCAGGAATTTGTTTCAGAATCTTAGACAAAGTTACCGGATCCCTAATGACCTACCTTCTGTACGTCTTCTGACATGGTGTATTCCAGGAGAGGCAAGACCTCTAGGAAGGTCCTGATCTTATCCAGGTTGATGGTTCCAGACTTCAGAGCTTCCTGAACAGAGGCCTTGACCTCGGTCATGTTGACCTGGTCTCGCTTCGGCTGCAGGTGAACCCGACAGTCAGTCTACATAGGAGAAATACAGAACAATATGTCAATTGGTTCCGTGTTGCATGCATTTGAAACAAGATATTTTGGATGGTTTTCTTTCATAATGTTACAAAACTTGACTTTAAAAAAACAACTACTATTCATGTGGAAGTGGGACCTCTTCGTGTTTAGAAGATATGTGAGTCATTTGGGACATGTGCTAACTGTGAACGGGTCTATTTATAAAAATTGCAAAACAATGCAAGCACACACAACGCTAGAAGTCTGTGGTTTTTAGGGATGCAAATTGGTGGAGTCCTTGACTGTGACTGTACTTCGTACAAATTCTTTCATCTACAAATCCTGAAAATAGTACTCACTGGAAGAATGGACTTGGCATCCGACAGGACCAGGACCCCGACGTTAGTATGGAATTCAGTCTTGTGATAGTTGAAGTCATAATCCACCTTCTGCCACGAGATGATATTGCCGAGAGCAGCCAGGTTCATTACACCTGTAAGATAAAAACACAAATACCGGTAAGGACCCATTACAACTTTTATTAAATTTTGATTGATACAGGCAACCTTTCACAAATCCACATCAGATATTCATAAAAACAAAGTGTAGCGGTTTGATAAATCTCTGTGACAAAATTTTGCAATGTGTTTGTCATGCGTACAGTGTATATTTGTGTTCAATGTTAGAAAAAAAGGTTTTGGAAAGTCATTATTCATACACTACAAAGAGAATGATACCTAATTATAATACCCTGCTATCTACATTTATCTAGAAAATTCTGTACAAGGAAATTGCGCCTTTACACCTTTATCTGTTTGTGTAACCTCACATTTATAATATAATAAGTTTCATTTGATGTACAAATGCACAAAAACTATTTGGAAGATAAAAAACAAAATTACTTCCCAAGACAGTTATAAACCCTAAACTCAATAATTTATAAGTTTCACTCCATCATTTTGATTACAGTGGACACAAAATCCAGTATTTGTAGGTCATTTGCAACAACACAGACCTCAAACTGCCATATCAGCTTCTTTAATATCATGTCCCAGTGTTCACTGGGAATCTTTGCATCTCAGAATGTACATGTACAAATGCAGGAGCATTATTTATAACAAAATAGCTTCCAAAGACAGTTGAAAATCCTCAACTCACCATTAGCATCGAGCTGGCCTGGCTGCAAGGCAGTCTCATCCAAGACAAGATGTGTCCGGTCTGTGAGCTGAAGTAAGCCACTTTTTAACCTGTTGGCCGTGTAGTCTTTCTTGGGTGTTAACTTCAGCTTGTTCATGTTGCTTAACGTCAGAGGCAGTAGGTGAGACTGAGTTTTAAAAAAATCATTAAAGTCAAAGTCAGATATTGTTTAATGTGTAATGTGACTAGATTCAAGCAAAAAAATAATTGTTACAGAGACACTTGCTACACAAGATAAGGAAAACAGAAATGAAGAATTTACATACAAACCCAGTTCGCAATTTATATTTTTAACACTTTCAAATTGCAAGCACTGTATTGTGTTACTGCAATATGAGCTAAATCATTCACAGGATTGATCAAACCCTATAATTAAACAAGAAAAAAATGAAACCTCATGTGCATCAGGAAATGACATTCGTATCTGGACCCTGTTTCACAAAACTTGTTATTGCAATAACTGTTATAAGCTACTAAAATAGTGGCATTCGATTGGCTGCGAACAGATTTGTCATAGAAATTTTGCATTCGTTATTGTTAACAGTTTTATGAAACAAGGCCACACTCACCTTTGAGACTAGCTGTTCAATCAATGCGTAGAGGGTCGCCACAAACTCAGGATCCTGAGGTATTCCCGTTAGATTCAGACTCAGCTTTCCCAGAGCACAGACCTCTCTCCTTGCATACCTGGAAGGCCATATAGATGGAGAAAGAGAACAATTAGAGAGTCATTGTGTATGACCCGAGACAATTCAAATCCAATTATAGTCATTTTGAACTAAATAAAATAATCATTATCTTAGTCACACCACCAACTTAGACACCAGGGGGTGTTTCACAAAGATCCTAAGTAGAACTTAACTCTAAGTTGGACTTAAAAATTATGGACAGCCATTGGAGTCTTAAAATGAAATATATTCAAAAGCAGAAATTCAAGTATTTTAGACTTTTTATGAATTCCACATCCAGAACATGAAATCTCCTTGATGATAGATAATATGAATGATTTGAATAAACAATTAATGCCTTTCAAAATAACTTTTACAAAATATTTTCAAAGATGCTAATGGCTTTCCATAATTTTTAAGTCCATCTTAGAGATAAGTTCAACTTACATGTAGGATCTTTGTGAAACACCCCCCCTGGCCAACAAAAGACTGATAAAAAAAGACGGGTAGAGGTGTTGTGATCTAGTGGATATAAGTCTCGCGACTGTGAAACAAGGTTCTTTGGCAAGACATTAATCTACATTTGCCACACTTGACCCAGGTGTGGTAAGTGGGTACCTGGTAGGATTCATTCCTTGAATGCACCGAGCGCTACGGTTGCCAGAGCTAAAGCTGGGATAATAATATCCAAGGTCCTTTTAAAGCACATAGAGACATTATATTGTAATGTGATATGTCCTAGCTATACAAGAACGGCATATTATTATTGTAATTGAAAAGTTGAAAATTGGCCGGTACTGAGTCCGAGTGGAGTTGGTTTGGGGGTGTGACATGAGTACTGTAGGCAAAGTTTTTCTGATTAGTAATCATCCTTTTTTCATAAAACAATATAACATTACATATGTTTTGCAATATTATTAGTTCAGAGGCACTCTTTTGAGAATGTTCAAGCGACTTACACCGATGATAGAAGATGGAGTATGAGGTAGTCGGCTGTGAGTGCATCGCATAACAGAACTTGACTCAGGAGCCATCTCAGCTGGTCTCTGATCACACCAGCTTCCTTCAAGGTGTTCTCTACCACTGTGGATATAAGGAGAATTCACATTAATATAGTGAAACCTGTATATAAATAATAATAATAATAATGATAGGCATTTCTATAGCGTCGTCTATCTAGAAATTCTATTCCAAGGCGCATTTATTATTACCCCGGCTTTAGCCTAGCTGCCATTACAGCGCTCCAGCATTTCAAGAAATTAATTCCTGCCAGGTACCCATTTACCTCAACCGAGTCGAGTGTGGCAAATGAAGATTAATGCCTTGCCAAAGGACATTAGTGCCGTAGCAGGGATTGAACCATGACCTTTGAAGTGCTTAAACCACTCGACTACGTCACTTATAAAGACTGCTCAAGGGAGACAAGAAAAGTAGTCATTATAGACAGGTGGTCTTTATGTAAAAGTTCCTAAATAGTACATGTTTCAATGAGAAACTATTTACAAGGCAAATGCAAAATGTTGTCTTTATAGGCAGGTGGTCTTTCTATAAAAGTGGTCACTAAAACTGTAGTATTGCAACCACTATACATGGTCTGCCATAAATACATGTATCAGAATGACTTTCACTCAAGGGGTGATGTACCATTTTATGCTTTGTTTTTAAATTTACATATTAATCCTTACAAACATACCAGGGGAGTGTTTCACAATGATCTTAAAGTCAAACTTAACTCTAAGTTAGACTTAACATTATGGAGAGCCATTTGTAGCCTGACAATAAAATATATTCAGAAGCGAAAATTCAAATATTTTTAGACTTTTCATAAATTCCACGTCAAGAACATGAAATCTCCTTGATAATAGAAAATATAAATGATTTGAATCAACTTTTATGCCTTTTTAAATAACTTTTACAAAGTATTTTCATAGATGCCAAAGGCTTTCCATAATTGTTAAGTCCAACTTAGAGATAAATTCAACTTAGGATCTTTGTGAAACGCTCCCCATTTCACATTTTGGATAGAATCTCTGTGGATGGAAAACAAAACACCATGCACATATTAGTTGTTGATATGTCAGACAAGGTCTTGTAGGCTAGAGTGTTGTATAAAGCACCATTTTTTAGAAGTAGATATTGAGTTTGAAGACCACTGTAAAATGGACTAGAGAATGGATTAACACGGCTGTAATCCTGAATTGCCTCATGTTCAATAATCAGTGAACAAAATGATAGAAAGAACAGCTGAAAAGCAAAAGGCTAAAAAGTTGATAAAATCAATAGATGAAAAGTCAACAAGGTAATTAGGGCCAAATTAAACAAAAATCTGTAACAGGGAGTTGCAGATTTGAAGATTGGACTGATGAAGTTACAGTGAAAGAACCAATACCGATTTGAAAAGGGTGGTTAATAAATTAGCTATAGAGTACCGAAGCTGTGACGTCATAAAAATCTATTTTTAGAATTTATTTAATTTTTCTTCATTTTCTGAAAGAGCATACAAAATAATGTCCAAATGTCGAAAACCAATTGAATATGTTAAATATTGGCTGAGATATGACCATCTGAATAAAAAGATTTCCTATAGGAACTCGGTGTTATATGCTCTGGTTCATCACATTACCAGTCAGAGTAATATAACACTGAGCTCCTTACACAAAATCTTTTTATTTATTTTATGCTCTTTCGGAAAATGAAGAAAAAATGAAGAAATTCCAAAAATAGATTTTTATGATGTCACAGCTTCAGTACTCTATAGAGAAGATACCTTACTTGTATGAACTAAACCTACATGACTTTCCCATGATGGAGTTGATGTCATCCGGGATGTGAGGGTTGTTGTGAGAGAGCTTGCGGGATGCGATCACGTGTAACCTAGGAACCAGGGACGGAGGCGGAGAATGCGCGTTCTGCTCCTCTATGCATTCCATAGATTCAACTGCATCTCCCAAACCTGACCTGTTTGTAGATTAGAAAAACATCTAATTGAAACAATGCAACTTATCATATTGCTTAGTACACAAGAAATTCTTAAATTCATAATACAAATCTTCCTGCAGGCAAGCTCAGATTGAATTTCCTATTACTGATTTATTACATATAATCAAGTATCAAGTATCAAGTTTATTTGCCTTCCAAAAATCACATGTAACAAAATACAATAGAGTATAATCATAACAGTACAATGTAGAATAAAGAAAGACGAGCAGACCTTGGTTGAAGCACAGCTTGTTAAGAGAAGGCCCCTCAGATTATGTGACAAAGATAATATTTAATCAGGTACTATATATAATAGATTTGTTCTTTCTTTTCAAATGTCTTAACTTTGAAGAGCCTTTAAAAGAAATGCTTTCATTTATTTTTTTCAGCTCCTCCTGCCCAAATACATGTTTTTTATTGCTTGAAATGAGAAAAAGACCCCAAACTTACTCCTGCTCTGAATCTGCAAAATGGGCCAATGAAGGATCAACTGAGAGGACACCAACGAACTCCACCATTTCTGCTACTCTGAAGACATCTATCTGATCATACACCTTTAAAGTAAACCAAACAAATTATTATTTATACAAAAGCACTTCCACTATATACAAGACAAACTAAGAGAACCCTTTAATCATTTTTACTACATACAAAAATAGCATCTTGGTAAAGTCCTTCTAGTAAAAAATGGAAAGAACTGATTCAAAATTGTGATAAATGAGGACATTAACCAAAGTATTATGTTAAAACCTAACAAGTAATTTGTGACAAATACTTCCCAGAAAACTACTGTAACATCTAAACCTTAGTAAGGTACATGGACAATCAAAGCATAATCACTATGGATGGAGTTTTCCTAGTGGGGTGTAGGGTATAGTGTCCTTCAGAAGTAGGTGTGCAGGATGGGTAGTTGCTGGTAGTGCCAATAGCCCTCCCCCCCCCCCCCCACTCAGTGTTATTTAGGGTACGCGTATCCATGTTCTCTCCCTTTGAAAGCACCTCCTATCTCTGGTGTAAAGTCAATACGGGCCAGATTTTTGTGTATTACGTGCCAGACTTTGTTGCGTAAAAAGTGCCCCTTTACCAGAGATTTGGGGAACACAAATGCGGTCCCTCTGTCCTAAGGTAGGGGGCCAGGGGCAATACACAATCAGGGCTAACATCCTGATACAATGAGAGAGTATAGAAATTGAATAAAATCTTACTTTGACAAGACAAGCAGTTCCTTTCTCTCCTGGAATTGGGAAATTAAGATCTACTGTCGTATTGGCTCCTCCTCCAGCTGTTCCTTCATCTCCATCTGTTGTTCTGCTCCTCTTCTCAGCATCTCCTCCATTCTCCATGGCAACCTCGCCACCATTTTGATGAGGGGTAACCGAGGAATCTTGTGATGCTGAGGGCGAGGACTCGTCGATGTCGAGAGCTCGCTTGACCCTGGAAGTAGAACTCGAGCTGGGGTCAAGTGGAGGGCAGGTCATCTGTTGGCTAGTCTCTGCATAGCCGTTAACTTACAGTTAAGGTATCATAATACAATATAAGAATGTTTTAAGAACTAGTTTTTACTTTTCATCAATAAAATCTCAGCCCGTTCATGCCTAAATCTTGATATATTTTACCATAGTAAAATGCACACATGTAAGAATAACTGGTGAATCAAGAAAAATAGTGTGTTACATTGTAATTTGATACAGTATTCAAGAAGGTAAATTAACTGTACTTTCATCAAAAGCAATGTATTTCTAAACAATTATCTCATTTTTTATGTCATGTTAGAATGCGAATGTAATATGAATAATGTGCATAGGTGAGCAGTCCATATTTGTAAATTGTACTTTGATTAAAGGCAAGACAAAAACCAAGTGACACTGGTTGGTTATAAAAGGCAGGGTACTCCACTACCAGGTAATTATTTTCTCAGTAATCAGGGTCTTTATGCATGAACCCCTTGTCAAATGTTTATATTTTGGGAGTCCAGACTTAGATTTTGGACACACATGTGGGTGTGTGTGTGTGTGTGCATGTGAGTGTTTTATACAATATGACTTGTACTCCAAGCCTAGTACAGTCAGACCTGCTTAAGTGACCACCTGTCTACAAAAACCACAATTTTTTCCCCCTCGAAAATGTTTTTTCATTGAAACATGTACTACAGGAACCTGTCTGCAAAGACTACCTCTCTACACCCACCACTTCTTGTGTTCCCATGGGCGGTCGCTATAGACAGGTTTGACTGTACTTAGACTAAAATTGCATGAGAAACAAAAAGGATATTTGTTTGATCCATTCATTCTCTGCCGGTATAGGAACACAGTAGAGCGTCTGACGATCCCAGGTTACATTCTGTCTCGATTCCAAATTGATAAGTTGATCTCGACTGCACTCTGCTACATCCTGGTACTTCCCCGTCTTCAAAAACTTAAGGAAATATAAATGTCATACAGTTAGTAAATAAGTTTTCTACACTCATAAATTCCCTTTCAAAAAGTATCAAAGGATTAAGAAATCACAAAACTATCTACATGTAAACTTGAGGGTTCAGTGACACAAAGACGGAACTCCATATTTTGCCAAAATGAGTATTTGATATCAAAATGTGCAGAAAAATGTGGGCTTTCCAGGAAACACAAAGACTTAACTCCACCCAACACCCCATGAAGTCAATGGCTAGTGAAACATAGACTTAGCTCTTTAAAGTTTAAGGCCCAAGTGCACAGTGATATATACCACTTTTTCTCAAAATGGCCAAAATGGAGTTTTTGTTTTGTCTTTGTGTCACTGACCCCTCAAACTGATTTTGGTGCATTCCTGTTTTTTGTCTACATTATGTCTAAGAACATGACCAGTTACTCAAAGTTGAGATGTCTTACAGGAAAATAATAAACATCTTCCTATAATTGAAGTAGTTTTATTGATCAAATCAGAAAATGTTGTAAACTAATGCTGCTAGATGATTATCCTTTCAAAATTGTGATATATCAACATCAGCAAGTTAATCATGGAGTACTGCCATGTCACTTGCTTCATGTACAAGACTTTGCCAAAAATACATGGTTCTATTTAAACTCATTGGAATGTACACTTGATCAAAATTAAAAAAAAAAAAAATTGGCATGCTAAATCAATTTAGGAAAAATTCTCTTCTCTACACTGTGATGGACATGTATCTTATTTCAACATCATGGAGAACATAAAGAAAAAGGTTGTTACAGAGAAGATACATTAAGTTCTTGGCATAACTAGCCGGCATGACTATAACGTTAATTTTGACCATAATTTGCTGAATATTCTTCTAGTCTGTCATACACTTTGCTGTACTCCTAATTTTGATCTGTACTTACTGTTGAGTTGCTAGATTTATTTTGGACTTCATAGACACCAAGGTAAAACTCTGGATCAAACATATCTTGGACCATACATCGAAATCGGACCAGTGAGTTAGGCTTGAGGGTGTGAAGGGGGGTGTGGTTCAGGGACGGAATCTGAAATCAAATGCATCATGACAATAAATGATGAAAGAAAAGAGAAATGTAGGAGAGAGGTGGATATGATGAAAAAGAGACCTATTTGATTGATAATTGGGATTTACCATTGACATACAATATTTTTCAGTCTTGGACATACTTGTTATCTCAAATCTTTAATAAAAAATAAACAATAGACATCTTCAACAAAATGCTTTGGAATTACTTCATCTTTTAAAAGAATTTTTTAAAGTGGACAATGGCTAGAAACTAACAATGTTTTAAAACTAATCAAAAAAGAGGAGAAAACTTGAAAGAAAAGGAAGATATTATCCACTTGTCAAGAGTAAATCATCTCTCTTTCCAAATGAAGAATCATTTGACAACCACAAAAAAATTTCACTCACCCTTTGCCACGCTGTGAAGTCGCTTAGACGATTCTTGAAGAACCCATCAACATTATTACTCCACTCTTTATTTTTGGCATCTGTAGACGAATCAAAATTTCAAATGAAAACGTGTCAAGAAAAAGATACAAAAGTCCAGACTAAGATGGGCTTTTTCCCTGTTTGACACTTGAGCGGGTCTAACTTAGAATTAGTCTAGATCGAGGCCTAACTTAGAGCTAGACAACATGTGTATTTAGAGTTAGACCGTATTGTTCCTCCCCTCCTTCTCATCCTCATTCTCATCCTTATTCTCCTTCTCTTTCTCCTCCTTTTCCTTCTTCTTCTCATCCTCCTCCTCTTTCTCATGCATTCTCATTCTCATTCAGTTTCTCTTCCTCATTCGTTATCTCCTTCTCCTTCACCTCTTCCTCCTTCTTCTTATAATCTTATTCTTCCTTCTCAAATTGATCTAAGACAGGATTATCATGATTATGCCATTGCCTAATTTAGGGAATAGTCTAGATCTACATTAAACTTCAAGTTTAAACAGTTCTGAATCTAATTGAGTTCAAAAAGTTTAGTGTTTACTTACCGAATAAACTCTGAACAATATCAAGAGGTAAATTCACCCAGTCATCTATTCCCGGCATGATGATGCTGATAACTGTCAAACACAATAAATTAAGATCGAGGAGCTATTTCTCCAACTTATAAAGAATTGAAAACAAAGAAGCAGTGAGCCAGCAGTAGGTCAGCCACTAAAATAGTACACGCGAGTCGCAATAGAAATGCACAATTTAAATGTCCCACTGCACAACAATGCCTTCACGCACATGATCCATTCATCGCGCGAAATTTGCATTGTGGCGCGGGAAAGTCCGGACATTTAAATCGACCTTTGACCTTGCGGATAGTACGCGTAAACGTGACGTGTACACATCGAACAGAACCGAACCGGCGAATATGGCAGACCAAAAAGGGAGCAGCCCACCTCCATTGTTGTTATGTTCGACTAATGATAGCATCACACCCGGGATTTTTCGACCCGTTCCCGCAACAGCATCTTTGTTTCCTACAGGTACGAAGTTTTAAATATTATTTTTGGTGGATATTTCATGTATTTTTTCAGCAATCAAACCGGGCGGCTGTGTTTACTACAGTCCCATTGCATCATTCTGATGTCAAGCTAAGTGAATGTTGTTTTGCATTTGGGATGTTTGTGTTGTGCATGTGTGACTGATTTGTGAATTTGTTTGTTTTTTGTTTAATTTTTTTAATTTACCTTCATTATGTGTATAGTGTTAAAGATTGGATTGATTGTAGAATGCTGTAGAGTTATGTTGCGGCCAATTTTTTCTTGGCACACTTCGTGTAAGTTTCGGAGCTAAAAAACATTGTTTCCGTAAACTAAAGGCGTAATCAAATCATGCAGGTAGACTAGAATATATAAATAAATATTCTATCGAGAGATACACAATTTGAAACCGTACTTAAATTCCTTCATTCACATCTGACGATTGGAATATTTAGTCAATCTTCGGTTGCTCGTAGCTCCGGTTCTGATCATCGCACCCGCACAAAAATAATTGAAGAACGATACGAAGTGAATTTCCCTGCATGTCGATCGATACTGTATTCATGATGTAAGTGCTAAAATTAGCAGTGCTATAGCGATTTGAATAGAGTCCTGTCGGTGCATTACAAATTGATCAGGAATTAAGAACGTGGTGCCAAATCAATGCACCATGGGCGCATGGATAGTCACGTACCTACCACTGTATTATGAGTTGCTGGAGTGCTAGGGAGTTGTGATAGTTGTGTGTCTGAATGCCTAAGCCCTTACAACAAAATGGCACTTGTTCACAACTGTGACCATACTTTGGACCCGTAGCTCCGGCGTGGAGATACCATACTATAACACTCCAAAAATCATATAGATCTTTCACAATTGTTTAAATAACGTTCATGATTTCAAAGCCGTTATCTTTCTTATCTGTTTCGTGTCAATTTTCTAATGTTTTTTGGAGTATTTTTCCTAAAAACGAGGACTTTAGTAGTATGTACACTTTCTCACAGGTTTCACATCAAACAGATGACAATACAAGTGCATATTGATGGTGGATTTAGGGCGGGTGCATGCGCCTGCGTGAAGTTAGCGACTGTTATCTCAGATCCTCGTTAAATTCATGCAAGAAGTTCACATTATGACTTGATGATGATCATTACGATCGCTAACTTCACGCAAACTATCTCAGATGAGTCAGCATCAACTTGTGTAATGATTAGCGACAAAGAAGGCGAAACCCAGAATGAATTAATATCATTATGATGGGAAAGGAGCATCATAAGCTTTGTTTTCAAAGGTTACAATTTTATATAGGCTAGATGCTTTTGTGCAAAAATTCTTTCATCTTGAAAAAAATCTTGATCTAGACTCTAGTCTATTCTGAAGTTTTATTAAATGGGTTAGATCTAATAATTAAAAAAACAAAACAAGTATCATTGCCTTTTTTCAAGTCATTATCGATGTCTGTATAATCTGTAAGACAAAAATCACCAAAATAATAAGTCCTTAATTCAAAGGTAAAGACCAGTATTGGAAACGCCCCAATTTCAAAAAATGAAATGGAAGCTCTTATTACCAATCATGTGAAAGAATATGTTTTGACTAATACATGATAAAATTTTTGCCGGGAAACCGCCTACTAATTGATATATTTGGTAAATTAGTTTATCTATTGGACTGTGAGAGATAAACGCACGTGTCGTGCACGTGTGCTGGTCCCATATACATCTTTCCGTGTACTGTACTTGTAACTTTACGAAGACTGGGCCAAATTTCTTATCATTTTGATTATTCCAGAACCTTGCAGTACACACCAATACTTATATGCTAGATGATCACCTTTTTCTGATCGATTCCACAACGTTTCTTTCACAATGCAATCGCATGACAATAACTGGTCTTTATCTTTAAGCAATACACAAACTAGTAAATCCAAAGCTCAATTTTGCATTAGACTGTTTTCAATTTCACTCTGATTGTAATGATAATGTGGCAAGATATTGATACAAATAACTAATTTTTTTGTCAAGCCTTTATGATAATTCTCATTGCCCAGTTACCTCAAAATGTTTGTGCATGATTCATGTCCCTTTGTATATTTTAACTCAGTCAGCCATCTGATATGAGCTATGGTATGGTGCTATGGGTACATGTATGTCTCCAAACTTTAGATATCTAAAAAAGTTTGGGCACCCCTTCATAGTTTTCTTTTTATTTCAAAAAGTTTGTTTTGAATTTAAATTCAATGTTCTGTCCCCAACTTTGAGTAACACCCTACCAGCGCCTCTAAAAAATGAAGACTTATTCATTCATCCTGCCTTCATTTTTTCTTTTGTCAACAGAGGAAGATGGCGAGGCAGATAGTTTCTTGGGACAAAATGATCCTCCTGACCTACATGTAGGGGCTCCCCCTCCACCCTCTAACCAACAAGCCGCACCCTCGACATTCTCATACTTCCAGCAGCAGCAGCAGCTGTCCGGTCCTCCCCAGTCAGACCCGTTTGCGGGGATATCCTCCCAGGGTCCGTCCCCCTTTCCCTCCCCTCAACCCCCGTCGTTAGCAGGCCCAGCAACTATCCCAACGTATGCACCAAACAACCAGTTTGCTTCACCCCCCTCGCTCCAGGCAGGGCCGCCCCCACCCCAAGCGGTGCCGTTCACATCGCCACAAAACGTACCCCTTCAGCCTCGCGCAGTACACTTTCAAGATGAGCCATCTGCAGGTATGTTCCTCATATTTCCCCATCTTATTTCTTCTGCTGAGATCCAGAAGGGTATTCATTCGTATCCCTACGCATTGAGTCAACACTCTTCTGCTTCTTAGCAAACCATATAATGTATATTTCTTTAATAGCACTGGGTTCATATTGAGGCATTTTGATAGTATACCTGCTATTAGATTTTGATAATTTGTTATTATCCTCACTTGATTTGAAAAAAAATTCTGGCTTTTTCGGGGTATAATTAAAAATGTAATGCCTTCTCCAATCTCTGATTCATTACTGCCATTTTTATATAAAATGACACAATAAAAATTCATCTTTTTGTTTTTTAAACCAATGAATTTTGGAGGAAAAAAGTTTGTAAAATAATGTGAATAAGGTTGCAAAATGATATTCAAATTTACAAACTATATATCAAATTTATGTTTGAAAATAATAATTAACTTTACATCAGTATATGATTTATACATTTTATAAAACACAGGGCCACCACCACCAACTACTGGTTATTCTCCAAGTGCTCCTCCACCTACTGGTGCTCCTCCCTCTGGACAAGCTGCTCCAAAATTTGGTATCAAGGGGTACCAACACAGGCCCATGCCATACCCCACAGGGGGTGTCACACCAGCAAGTGGACCCTTACCACCAGGCATCTTAGCACCTCCTCCAAAAGTACAACAGGTAGGGACAAAGGTCTTAGACTTTTTATAGAATAAGTATTGAAGTTTGTATGCCCTCACGCTAACGATGGTGAAAAAATTACAATAACTAAAAGGGAAGAACTGCCTGGAGGAGGTTGATTTTACTGAATACCCAAATTTCATTCATGTCACATCGGTAAATAGAAGATATAATATCATTTTCATAGAAATATAAACTTATTTTTGCAACATACATCAAATTGCAAAGAAAATTACCATTAATATCTTAATTCAATGGTTATTTGACTGTAGCCAAGCAAAATTGCTCTTACATTAAGTATCTTTGGTTGTAGGTTGGTTTGTTTGTTTTACCTTGTCTGCGAAGAAAGCAGGTGTATGTTTGTAAGTAAGTAACCAGGAGACTGAGGATTAATGCCTTCCTAAAGGGTCCTAGCACATGAAATTGGTTTCGAACCATGGACGTCTTGGTTACGAGACCATTGCTCTACTACTGAGCCACCGTGCCTCATACATACAGAAGAAGATAACGTGATAATAAAATAACTTGAGACAATTTGGAGACAACAGTCAAAATATAGCCATTTTTGGAGGTTTGAGGCATTGTATGTCTTTAGACAATTTTTCCTGGAATGCGAAATATATTCTCACTATAAACTGCAGGCTTATCTTGAATAAATTTCCAGGCGAAAAATTTAACCTCTGACCTTATTTCAGCTAAATCTCTGTGGCCTTATCAATCCAATCATCTCTTCCTGTAGAAGTGACGTAGTCGAGTGGTTTAAGCACTTGACTTGAAATTCAAAGGTCCTGGTTTGATCCCCGATACGGCACTAATCTTCATTTGCCACACTCGACCCAGGTGAGGTAAATGGGTACCTGGCAGGAATTAATTCCTTGAAATGCTAGAGCGCTGTAATAAAGCTGGGGTAATAATAAGTGCACCTCGGAATAGAATTTCTAGATAGACGGCACTATTGAAATGTCTATTATCATTCCCTTTCTAATCCCAGTATGATGCGAGCAGACCTCCACCCACAGCAGCTGAGGTCCAGCAGCAGACGCAACCAGCCCCTGGTGAATCCCCAAGACCTGGGGGTGCCTACCAGTCCATCCAGCCCCATTGGTTCTACTGCAAGGAGATGGAGAAGAGGAGCGTCTGGGTGCCATTCAGCATTATCGATTCGATCAAGCTGGAGGAGGCCATGCTCAGAGGTATGCAACCAGGGGGGGGGGGGGGGGGTGTTTCACAAAGATCCTAAGTTGAACTTATCTCTAAGTTGGACTTAACAGTTATGGAAAGCCGATGGCATCTTAGAAAATATTTTGTAAAACTTTTGTTAAAAGGCATACAAATGTTGATTCAAGTCTTTCATATTTTCTATTATCAAGGAGATTTCATGTTCTTGATGTGGAATTTATGAAAAATCAATTGCTTTTGAATACATTTTATTTTAAGGCTACAAATGGTTCTCTGTAATAATTAAGTCCAACTTAGAGTAAAGTTCGACTTAAGATCTATGTGAAACACCCCCTGACCTGTTAGTTATGTGACCTTTTAGCATGAGAGGGTAGAAGAAGTTACATAATACCTACAATCAGGATCAGGAGACACAGTCTGTTCATATTTCAAGCCATGAAATCATAATTTTTTTCTTAATTACCTTGTGATGATATTGCATTTTGGTTGTAGAACCTTGAAATACAGATATAGAGGAAGCCAACTCTGATATATAGTTGATTGTAAAAATACAAAGTATGATAGAAAACAGATTAGTGAAAGGTTGAGTAAAATCTGATTAATGATACAGTGTAGGTAGGTTATGAATTGTTTAAATTGTAGTCAATGAAGTAAAAATGGGCAACTCTGTGACGTTTGCTCTGTACTAAATAGTTTCCCTTTTCTTAATTATCAAGGAATAAATAGATTTGTTTCATGCAGGGTTGTGTAAAAATACTTTGCAATTATTGTATGTTACGTTCATGTATGACTGAAAATTATATAATTTGTTTAGAACAGAACAAATGTGAGAGGACTTTGAGAGATAACTTTACAGCATTGTCAATTTTTTTTTTCTTCACTGGATTTTGCTCAAACTTCCACCAATCCGTTGCACCAATTTTTCTGTGTCTATTGTAATGACATTACTATTAGGGTTTAGGTGGTGCATGAATCGCACTTTACTGATTGTATTTAACCAACATTTGCACATTCTGTTTTTTTATCACACAGCACAAACTTCATCGGAGAGCAACATTATCATCTCCACCAATGGAGGGCGCTATGACGTGAGTCTGTCAGAGAGATTGCGCTTTGCCATCTATTGGGACGAGCAGCCTTCCCCAGTGAGGAGATGCACATGGTTTTATAAGAGCGACAGTGAGAATCGATTCATTCCTTATGAGGAGCAAATGGCGAACATGCTGGAGGTAAGATATGGCCTTTGTTTTCATTTTTTTAAACCTTTATTTGTTGATTGCTAAACGTTTGTTGTAGGGCTTTTTGAAGATTACACAGAGTGAAAACTAATGTATTTAGGCCTCAATATACAAGTACAGGAAAACCACTCTCTGTAAGTTTTATGTTCCGTGGATGTGTTGAGCTTCCTTTGAATATGAAAAATGATGTGAACATATTAACTGAAATTTGACAGAGTCTCATTGATTAAGATGCAGTCATTACTAGGCCAAGAGTTTAACTGAAAGTATCTGTTGCTTCTTGTGCCCGTGAATCATATTGCCTTTACTTTAGGTAGTTATGACTGTATGACAGAGATGACCCATGATCAGACAACCAGGTTTATTTATTTTTTGCCATTTAAAGGGGGTGTAGCGTGGCAAGTACTGTTTTAACGTCATCTACGACTTCTTTTGGATAACGGCACGTAAACGAATGGACTTGATTAAGGGTCAGCGCGCTAGTGTTCGCGAAACAGACCGAAGTTCTCCTCACGCTTCAGTTTCGCGTATGTTGCACGCACATGAATACTGCGGTCGCGTCGTATGAATCGTATTATACCCGATTGGCCCCGAGTCAGGCCACGGGAAAGACACGTAGTCTTGTCATGCTACACCATCTTTAAATGTTGTTAAAGGACTTTGATCCCCCAATTTCCATGCAATAGCAAACCATCCACTCAATACCAATATATCTATCTGAATTCAGGAAGAATACCGTACTGCATCCATGCAGAACCAGTGGCACCGGAGACTGGAACTCTCCGACGGTGAGACCATCATCATGCACAACCCCAACGTCATCGTCCACTTTCGACCCTCCACCAGACCCGACGAGTGGGGGGCGTCGCCGGATACTCAGATGAGACCTAGGGTGGTCAAGAGAGGTGTCGATGATATCGACAGCATCCAACAAGGTTGGTGATTCAATCATCGTGTCCAAGGGTGTCTAAATTTGGTTGACAATTAAAAAAAAGAAAATCTTGAATACCTGGTAGGATGCAAAAGCTAATGTGCTTAGATTAGCAAATGTGCGCTCGTAAAGATGATGCCTGGCTGGAACGCTCCCCAGGGAGTGGAGAATGTGCATACATTGTGTGCGGGTAAGCCTGAATCCGATGACCGGGTTAATAATATGATTGCAGGGCCCTCAGGGAGAACAGTATGAATACTGATGAGGCTACCCTGGGTTAACAAGACATTATTATTATTATTATAATTATTAATTATGATATTCCAAAAGTAAATTCAATGAGTTTTAATTTTTCTTGTCTTATGCTCATGCATCTAGATCTGAGAACCTCTAATATTTGTTTACCTTTGTAAATTCATAAATCTGATGACTTTATAAAATTGTGATCAGTCTGAGGACTTTATTAAAGATGCAAAGAATGATGTACACATCCTACATGGTCCCTAGTGCCATGACAGGGATGGAACTCGCAACTTTTGCGACTTTCTCCTGTCAAATGTTTAAACCACTCAACCAGTATGAAATCTATATGTCACCTTCACATTGTGTTTCTTCTAGATGTAAAGAAGATACAATATTTCAACTTTTGAAACCCACTATTCTTGCATCTTCAGTCAAGTGTGTAAATCACTTGACTATGAAGTCTCTATGTTATGTTATGGTAATCTGATTGTGTTTCTTGTGTGTAAATAAAATATGATATTTTAATTTTATCATTTGTTTGTCTATGTACAGGAGAACCAAGTCAAGTGGACCACCTTGTCTTTGTGATCCATGGAATAGGACCCGTGTGTGATTTGAGATTTAGAACCATTACAGAATGTGGTAAGTCCAGACTAAAGTCTAATTTATGTGTATTAAAGCCCCACTGCACTACTTGTAGCTAGTTGCGCCCTCTATATAGCAAACAATGCCTAATTGGTACCTGTTGATCCCCATGATGCCCTCTTTCTTATGTTAATTGAAAACATAAAAACAAATTTGTAGGAACATTGTTTTCACTTTGATTTCTCTTTTCATTCTTGCTCCTGTCTAGTTGATGACTTCAGGTCATTGTCTCTGGGTCTGATGAGCAGCCACTTCAAGCAGGCCCAGGATGAAGGCAGGGCGGGGCGTGTGGAGTTCCTACCGGTCTACTGGTATGCAGCTCTCCATGGGGACGCCACAGGAGTCGACAGGCAAGTGTATTGCTTTAAAATGTTGCACGAGAAGCTCTGTTTGGTTCACAGCTCTATTTTGGAAGAAAGTGTCTGTTCGGCTTTGGTGTTCTGGCTTCAACCTCAAGCTTATTTCAGCAGTCAGTTATTATTGCCAGTCACCAATTTCAGCTTGTTAGTTTTGTATGTTGAATGTCTGATACTCATATATAGCTTGAATTGGCTATCTTGTTTGATGTTTGAGTTATACTCTAAAATTGTAAAAATTTCCCTTTCCACGGCCATTCATTGACTTTGTTGTATTACCCACAAGTCTTTTGTCCAGACAGGTTAGTTCCTGGACATTTGTTATCAAACATTAATTTTAAGAAGATGACAAGCAATATTCACAAATCTGTTAAGATTTGTGTTGGACAGTACTATATGAAATCCAGAGGCAAAAGAAAAAGATTTATTTTTGTTTAGAGTCCGTACACACAGTCCCCAGCATACCAGGCATCTTGTTATTCATGCTTTCTGTCTTCTTTGCAACAGGCGACTAAAGCGCATCACTCTGCCCAGCATCAACCGTTTACGGAACTTCACCAATGAGACACTTCTAGACATTCTCTTCTACACCAGTCCTATCTACGCCCAGCAGATTGCCGAGGTGGTGTGCTCGGAGATCAACAAATTGTATGCCAAATTTCAAGAGAGAAACCCAGATTTCTGTGGCCAGGCGTCCCTTATTGGACATAGTTTAGGTGAGTTAATGATGATTATTCTTTGTCCCTCTGTGGATGTGTGTGTGTGTTTATGATCTGACAATTGCTGGGACTGTTTCACAAAGACTAAGATCGACTTTAAGTTGGACTTAACTATGGCAGACCTTTCATGCCACTGTTTGCTCTCACCATTATGATATCTAGATAAATATTTTTTCCTTCAATAATGAATTATCAACAAATGTATATTCTGTAGATTTGTGACCATGATTTGTACATCCCTTGAGAGACCAATGCTAGTAAATGGTGAGAGCAAACAGTGGCATGAACAGCTTGCCATAGTTAAGTCCAACTTAAAGTCGATCTTAGTCTTTGTGAAACACCCCCCTGCAGTCTGTATTGCATGAAATGTATAGGGTTAGGGTCTGGATTGCTGTCAAGTTTTAAGTTTAAGTATGAGGTTAAGATTGGGTATAGTGATTGGTTGTGGGTTGAATTTAGTGATTTTGATAGTATAGGATATTGACGGTGGAGCAAATATCTTCAGAGCACGTTTCTTAGGCCATTTTTGTGACCCTTTTTCATCCAATTTTAGGATTATTCTATCTACTTCCCAACGTCACACATTAGAAACAAAATGTGGCTTTGAAGCGTGCACTATTATTCATTAGTCTCTGTTGTCTAGATGTTTGGTATCGGATAAAATATAATTTTTTTTAAAATATATTTTTTATGTTAAAGTGAATTATTGTCTGCAGTGCTGTGGATGTTGGAAGGTATGAAAGTATAGTGTGTTAGTGACCTTGAATGTATGTGGAATATAAGAAGCTGTTTGTGCTGACAGTCATGAGGATTTTTCTGTGGAAGAGTTGCAAAGTTTTAAAGAGAAGGTTGAGTTCTGGGAAGAGGTGAAAATAATTTGTGAGCTTTACCATTGTATTATGCAAGTGTGAAAGAATATCAGATAAAAAAAAGTTCCATGAAAAGCATGGATCTTCAAAAATGCTTTAGTATTCTAAATATGGCATGAAACATCATAAAAATCAGGACAGATTTCTATGCCACACGTTTGTGTGGTTCCATATACATCTTTCTGTATACAGTGCTCGTAACTTTACCAAGACTGGGCCAAATTTCTTTAATTGATGATTCCAGAACCTTGCAGTACACACCAATACATATATGCTAGATGATCAACCTTTTCTGATCGATTCCACAACGTTTCTTTCACAATGCAATCGCATGACCTGAACTGGTCTATACCTTTAAATAAGATACACTTACAATGTACACCTGCCTTTTCACAACTGATTCAGCAGACAGCATCAACTATTGCTTATTCTTGTAACTCTTCTTTAGGTTCCCTCATTGCTTTCGACCTTCTCAAGCACCAGGGGGACGGCGACGAGGCGGAGTCCGAAGAGAACCTCATCAAATCGGAAGTCTTCAGGGACAAGCCCCCGACTCCAGCCCCATCTGCGGAATCTCTTACACCCTCCAGCAGCAATGCATCTCTACTGAGTGGGGCTGCACTGGACGATGGGCCTGCTGTGATATCTCTGGAAGAGTCCCTGGAATCTATGGGCCTACTGGACCTGCTACCCAAGTTCGAGGAGGAACGAATCGACATGGAGAGTCTGGTATGACCTTTTTTCGCCCTTCTTTAACCTGATATACATGTACATGTATATATGCTATGGATTGCATATCCAGCCCTAGAATTATAATATTTGCTTTATATAAAGAGAAATTAAAGAAAAGTGATTCAAGACAAATTAGAGTGCTGTTGCTTGCCACATGTATGACGGAGAAAAAAAATTGCATGTTAAAAACAGCAGTCTTTTCCTATTACGATGCTGCTTTGCAGTTAATGTAGAATGTAAAAGACTCATGAGAATGCTATTAACGGTTAGTACAGTAATGATGATATTTTGAATGCATTCTCCCTGCATGTACAATTGTTAATCCAAGCAAAGTTGAATTTAGTGCTGTGCATTATGATTGTTGTGTAGTACTGTGATGGTGTTAATAATGTAGGTGTTTGTGATGGTGTCAATGTAGGTGTTTGTGATGGTGTTAATCGTAGGTGTTTGTGTTATTGTTATACATGAATTTAGACTACCGGTAGAGCAATTATAACCCATTTTATTATTAGCACCATAGTACTTGAAAGCTGCTTTGTATCAAAATGACATCAAATCAGTATAACACTGGTGTTAAAAACCGAAACACTGCACTAGAAATGATCCTAGCAACGCTTTTCTTGTATATGATCTTATCCCTAACACCAGCTCATGTGCAGTGATGCGGATCTGAAAGAGATGGGGATTCCCCTCGGCCCCAGGAAGAAGCTAGGGGGCTTCCTGCGAGATCAGGCAACGAAAGAGGTAACTTTTCTTCAAAAAAATACAAGATATGTCTTCTTACTAAATTAACATTTAGAGTTAAAAGGAAACTATGCTTCTAAAAGACAAGATCCTGTTATCCAAAATTATAATGAAAAATTACACTTTTAGAACATAACAAAATTGATTGTAAAATATTGTAAGATTGGGGCTCTTACATTAAATATTGAAGAGAAGAAAAAACATACAGTTCACAACAAAATTATTCATACCCCTTTTAATTTTTTTAATTTTTTTTTCTTAACTCAAGAATAAAAGGCGAACTGGTTGAATTAGGGTCTTTGTTTAATACCTTTAATACTTTTGTGTCTTACAAAAAGTGTGCATGAGGTAGAAATGAAATAAGCTGAGCTGAGCTAACAGTTGTCTTTGAAATCATATATTTCTATGAGCGATAGCATGCTTAGGCAGCAACTAACAGAGATCTATGATTTGCATGACTTTGAAATAATGAGCATGATGCCATTGAGTATGAATCTACTAATTTTCTAGTTCTCAGACTGTTAAAAGACAAAATTATTGTATCAATTACAATAGACAGGTTCAAATTTTATGCATACTGTTTAAAGAAAGGTTGTTCTTGACAACATGTAAGCTTGTTTAAGGCTTGCCCGAGATAGCAACAAGTAATGTATGCAGACTGGATTCCAAGTATTTTTGTTCATTCATTAATAACAGGCTGATGGTAAACCTTGTCACTAGGTCCCCAGGAAAGAAACATCCATACATTTGAATATCTTATTAAACTGGTCTATTCTACCTTTTAATAAAAACCAGCTACATGTCATTCAGAGAAGAGAAAGAGGTTTCAAATTTAAAGGAATAGTTGAGTTCTGTTTTCAGACCGCAAATGCCTTCAAAGTGCATGGTTATTGCTCTTATTCTTATCTATGTTATTTCTGGTGGCCTTTTAGGACCTAAAATTGCTATGAAGGTAATTTTAGACCCCAAAATGTGTGAAATTTAGCCAATACGACCATTCCAATTCAGCCCCACTTTCACAAAAATAAGGTGACCGTAAATTCATGAATAAATTAAAAATAAGAGTACATGGGCCGGCTGGTTGTGCGTAATATAAACCAACACGAAAAAGTCAACATCAGCATTGGCTGAAATACAATGTAAAAGGCGCTATTTCATTTTTTTCAACGGCTTTTTCAAATCATTGAATATTTGTGTTGGTACACAAATATTAGAAATCGTTATATTTACGGATATTTCAGCCGTCTCTGAACCGATTTTTGATCAAACAAAGAAGATTTTGTCATTTACATTGTATGTTTTTTCAAATTTGACACTCATTTTTTTATTATCTCACAAAAAAAAAAATTTGTGTAGCGCCCTCTGCAAGAGAACTCAACTATCCCTTTGAGAAACTGTGTAATGTCATGCTTCCACTAAGCGTGTTCCCACAATTCCTTGAAAGACAGTTGGTAATCCGTTGGTTCACAGGCCTGTCAGTAAGAAACATTGCATAACACCTGTTTGCATTGCAGGCAAAGCGGAAGGAAGGAAGGATGCAACAGGAGCAGACGAGGGCTGAACAGAAGGCTGTGGAGGAGGAGAGACAGAGACGGGAAGAGCTGAATGCTTCAACAGCAGTACAACCATCCAGGGACGGTCTTCATCCTGCAATGTCTGTCCATGTCGACTATGAACCAGGGCTAGAGGGTGAGTACAAGGGAACGTTTCACAAATATCCTAAGTTGAACTTATCTCTATTAAAGTTGGACTTAACAATTATAGAAAGCCGTTAGCATCTTTGAAAATATTTGTAAAAGTTATTTTAAAAGGCCTATAATGTTGATTCAAATCGTTCATATTTTCTATTATCAAGGAGATTTTATGTTCTTGATGTGGAATTTATGAAAAGTCTAAAATACTTGGAATTTTTGCTTTTAAGGCTACAAATGGCTCTCCAGAATTTTTAAGTCCAACTTAGAGTCAACTTCGACTTAGGATCTTTGTGAAACACCCCCCTGTTCTTTGGAATCTCAGATGCCGGCTGCCCTTGGTACCTGTTATATTTTATTATCTGCTGATTAATGAGCTCAAATGAACTTCAATTATGTCTGTTTCATAAAACTTGTCCTGGGCCCCGTCATTTAAAGAACTAAGACATACGTGTAAGAGATAGGGGGCTGCAAAGCAAGTTGATTGATTAGTGGATTTGTTTTGGATCAATCACAACTCTTTATAAGATATGGCCCAACCATTTGTCACTCTTATTTTATCACCATTTATTTAAGCCATACCTGTGTTTATATTTGTCGAACAGTACTTGGTAGTACATTTTAACTGATGATTAGTGTTCCAAATTGAATGATCTTAAAGCCTGTCTGCACTAGTTTGGCCAGGATGGATTAGACCTCCCTGCATATGGTCACTGACAGGTGGTTATCTCATCAAATCAGCTCTCAATTAACATAAGAAAAAGGGGATCATATGGGGGCCAATGGTCACCGATTAGGCATTGTTTACAATGTAGAGGGCGCAAGTAGCTATAAGAAGTGCAGTGGGGATTTAAATGAATTTTGATTCCTTATGTTACCCAGGTGTTGGGCAGCCATTTGTCAACTATCCGCAGCTAGACTTCAACCCAGCCTGTTTCTTTGCCTTGGGTTCTCCCATTGGTATGTTCCTCACAACTAGAGGTGTAGGAAGAGTGGGCGAGAACTATCGACTACCGACCTGCCCTTTCATGTTCAACGTGTTCCACCCTGTAAGTTGATTATTTCGTCATTCTTTCCTGACTTTAATAACCCAGGCATTTATGATTTTTATTTTATTTTCACCCAAGAAATTTGAATTTGATATCCATATGATTTTCTTATGTTGCTACAGGTATTTCAGTTTTCTGTGCCATAGAACAACTAGTATTATGAAAAAAAAATTAGTTACAGTCATACCCATTGTAAATTTCAACTTTTTTTTTTTTTTTTTTTTTTTGGGGGGGGGGGGGGTTATGTTGTGTTGTGTTGTACCTCAAGAATAAAAGATGGACTGGTTGAATTAAGGTCTTTATTTAATAGTATTACCGGTATATGTAAATGGGGACATATCAAATTTTCACATACTTAAACAATTACAAAACTTGGTATTAAAGGTTATGAATAATTTAGTTGTTAACTGAATGCTATGTTGTTTCATCTTTTGTTTTTAGCTTGACCCTGTGGCATACCGTATTGAGCCCCTGATCCACCCAACCCTAACAGATATCAAGCCAGTTCTTATGCCTCATCACAAAGGAAGAAAACGCCTTCATCTAGGTGAGCTATGGTTTAGCCACTCTACCCCTCCGTCTTATTTATCTCTCTCTCTATCTACCTTTTGTTTTACCTCTCTATCTCTCTCTTTCTAAATCTATGTATGTTTGTCTGTCTGTCTCTCTCTCTCTCTTTCTCAATCTCTGTCTCTGTTTCTCTGTCTGTCTGTCTGTCTCTCTCTCTCTCTCTTTCTCAATCAAGTCTCTGTCTCTTTTTCAATCTCTGTCTATCTCTCTCTTTCTCAACCTATGTATCTGTCTCTCTCTCTCTCTCTCTTTCTCAATCTATGTCTGTCTGTCTGTCTCTCTCTCTTTCTCAATCTATGTCTGTCTGTCTCTTTCTCTTTCTCAATCTATCTACTGTATGTCTGTCTGTCTGTCTCTCTTTCTTTCTCAATCTATGTCTCTCTTTCATTCTCTGTCTGCCTCTCTCTTTCTCAATCCATGTATCTGTCTCTCTGTCTCTCTGTCTCTCTCTCTCTCTCTCTTTTTTTTCTCAATCTCTGTGTGTCTGTCTTTCTTTTTCACTTTCTCTCATTCTTTCTATTCTATTTCTATTTTTTTGGCATGCATGTCTTTTTTCTCTCTCACTGTTTATGATCATTCTCTTACCTTTTGGTCTTCTGATAATTAATTTTAATTTTCTTGAGTCTGTCAGTAGTACACATCTCTATGCTTAAGCAGGTCTCAATGAAAGTCTGTCCCTCTTTTGGCATGTACACACAAAAAAAATTGACCTCAATGGTCGTACAATTATTATCTTTAACTGCATATTAAACTATTTGTATCAACTCCATGATAGTCAATTTTACAGTGGAATTGCCTGGCCAGTACTCAAACTTCACATTTAATATCTTTTATTATTAAGATGTAAGCATTTTCTGAAATTCATGTTTGAAGTTGTCTCTGCAGCTTTAGCATTTATCCTACACTCACTGCAATAGCCATCATTTATACAGGCCCGTAGGTTTCCTTGTTAATTACGCATTCCTCCTTGTTTACAAATTCTGGCCTTGAAATTACTCCCTTGTTGATTTCATGTAGATTTCTCCTCGTCTGTAATGTACAAATGGTCAATTGCAATTCCTGTGCAGCTGTTTTGTGTCAATTTCACTTTTGGTATTTCCTGTGTAATATACAACAAACATTGTCATGAACAAAGTTGTGTGACCTACTTCTCTCATAAACCAGATTAAACCAGTTCAAAGGTGATGTAATAAACTCAGAAAGTTTGTTACCCTAGAGATAATTTGTTTAAGGAGTTTGTTGAACTCAAATTTTCTTGAGATGGCCTGATTTGGGTCATATAATTTGTGGTAAATTCAAATTTCAAAGTTAGTAGGTGTCTAATCATCTGGCTCTCTCTGGCCTCCAATTTTTTGAGAAATTAAAGACAATAATTACTAAATCAACTGCTGTGATGTATCAACTCTATGAATTTTCTGAAACAGAACTATGCTAACAAGCCAGACAGTAACAAGCTATCTCAATTTTGAATCATTAATTCACTATCAATCAATGCAGCATTCATACCCTTTATTGGTCTGTACAGTCAGAACTTTTAGTGCTTTCGCAGTCATAATTATATCAGGTTTATTACATGGTTAACTGACAACATTAATATTTATCATTACTGTGTGTAGGGCTCAACTCTAACAGTGGCCTAGCTAGTACACATGGACCTCCAAAACTCTGGACCCCAACATTTTTAAGTATAATCAGAGGGCCATGCTCACAGACCCTAAAACTTTCAATTCTGATCCCTTGTAAAGAAAACAAAAATAAAGAGTTGGTATAGACCACTGCTGGATTTAATTGTATTTATTTCTTTAAACAGAACTTCGAGAGAGCCTGTCCCACTTTGGCTCCGACCTCAAGCGTAGCCTGCTTGAGTCGATGAAGAAGACGTGGGCCACCCTGCATCAGTTTGCCCTGGCTCATCGGACGGAAGAAGAAAACGAAGAAAATGAAGATCCCAATAGTGTCACGGACGAGCAGATGGAAGCGGTTGCCGAGCAACTGAGTAAACAGCAGCAAGCCAATCAGCAAGCAGAAGCGGATGGACAGTCGAGAGATCAAGGTAGCTTTTTAAATGTTCAGAAATAAACTATGTCTCAAATGATGGACTGGATCTGTTTCATCTCATCAGATCTAAGTGTGCTATCTGAAATATGATGCACATTTTTATATCAATGTATTTTGGATTGCTTTTATTTTGTCTTCTGTTCCCCTCTTTCAAAACTCGAAACTATATCAGACGGTCATGAATGAAATATTTGCTTCGCGTTGAAAAGAACCCCTGTATGCTAAGTACATGCTTTACAGTCCCCACAACTGAGCTGTGTGTGGTATGTGAAGCCATTGATGTATATGTACCGGTGGCTCATTTCTCTAAAAATATTATTTAGTCCTATATAATGGAGAAGTATTGTTTCACCTTTAATACTTATTCAGATCCAAGTACCAAAATGTACTTTTGCTAGATCTAGTTCTGAATATCTTTTGATTATTCTCTCCATTGTAGTTGTTCATAAGAATTTTGTGACTTCATAAAGACAATTTGATTGTGCAAAGTAGAACAAACTTTAAAGATAAAGATCAGTTATGGTCATGCGATTGCATTGTGAAAGAAATGTTGTGGAATCGATCAGAAAAGGTTGATCATCTAGCATATAAGTATTGGTGTGTACTGCAAGGTTCTGGAATCATCAAAATGATAAGAAATTTGGCCCAGTCTTGGTAAAGTTACAAGCACTGTACACAGAAAGATGTATATGGGACTATGTGACATGTGCGTGACACGTGCGTTATATCTATCAGGTCCAAATAGATATAATAATTTACCAATTATATCAATTTGTAGGCAGTTTCTCGGCAACATTTGTATGATCATGTACAGTATTATTCAAAACAATATTCTTTCACATGATTGGTAATAAGAGCCTCCATTTCATTTTTTGAGAGGGGGGCGTTTCCAAAACTGGTCTATACCTTTAAACGTTTATGTTTATCTTTCCTTTTACAGAAGAGAACCTACGACTTGGCCAGTTGAACGGAGGAAAGCGAATTGACTATGTCCTGCAAGAGGCTCCCCTAGAAAGCTTCAATGAATATCTCTTTGCTATGAGCAGTCATGCATGTTATTGGTAAGAAGATGCTAAGCAAAGATGTCAAGGCAATGTAGTTTGGGAATCTTGTAAAATGCCGGATTCATAGAGTGTTGATGTTGAAACTGGGAGATTCCATGTTTGAAACAAGTTTTTCTATAATGATAATAATGATAATGATAATGATAATGATGACAATAATAATGATAATAATAATACTAATGATGATAACACTGTTCTCCCGAAGGGCCCTGCAATCATATTATTACTCCGGTTTGATGATACAAATGGAATCAACAATTGACCTTGAATGTTGCCTGTAAATATGGAAATGTATTTTTTCTTTTGCCTCAAAATTACTTTTTTGTTAATCAATTTCTTTGAAGTCGATTCCCACTAACGTGAATGAAATAAACTTTTTTCAATTACATTTTTAATTTTTTAATTTGTATTATATTATACCAGCTCTGTGTTCGTGTTCATCTCTCTCTTTGTTCCTCTTCACCCTCTCTCTCTCGCTCTCTATCGCTCTCTTTGTCTGTCTCTCTCTCTCTCTCTCACTCTCCCTTCTCTTCTCTCTTCTTTCTCCATTCTCTCTCCCTCAACTTTCCTTTCCTTTTCTCCTTATTTTCCTGCTCCACGTTTTTGCCTTTATTTCTTTCTCCCTTTCTGATTTTTACTGAGTTTTTCGTTGAATTATTGTTTAATAATGAATTGTAGATATGATCTGTTTTTTTATATATTTAAACCAAATATCTGTAAATCATGCATGCAAGTCACCCATTGGCTGCGATATGTTGATGAATAAATACCTTACCTTACCTTACCTTAAGTCATGTTAAGATTTAAGAACCTGTGTATAAGTTAATGTACTTATAATACCACATTGGAAATGAAATTCCGGTCTACAACAACACGCTTAAATTATGTTTTCTCTCTTTCTCCTTTCCTGCAGGGAATCTGAGGACACAGTCTTGTTGGTGCTAAAGGAGGTCTACGGAGTCCTAGGAATCTACCCTCAAATATCTGGACCAAGATCAGACTCAGCACCTAGTACTCCTCTCAGATACTAAGTCTGGTCTTAGACCAGTTTGGAATAGTATCAAGCAATGTAGACCACTTCCAGTACCTATTCCTGGTCCTGCTCTTAATCTGTCAGTACCCAGGAATGATTGCATGTCAAGTTGGTACTGTTTCGTGTCTGTTCTTTTTTATGTTTGAACTCATTGTTCCAAGCTCAGAACATTATTAAGCCATATAGATGATGTTTAGGTCTGTACATGTGCCTGTTCGTGCTCTTGTCATGACATTTGATCAGAGTTGAGAATATAACCATACAAGCTTCTAGTTCTTTTGTTCTGGTTCTAAAGTCACTTATCCATATGAGGGATAATGTCATGCCATGTAGACAGCTTTCTAGTACAGTCAAACCTGTCTATAGCGACCACCCAAGGGAAACACAAAAAGTGGCCTTTGTAGACAGGTTCCTTTAGTACATGATTCAATGAGAAACCATTTTCAAGGGAAACAACAAATGTGGCCTTTGTAGACAGGTGGTCACTAAAGCAGGTTTGACTGTACTAGTTTTAGTTCTGGATCCATAATAGGAATAATATTGAGCTAAGTGGATAAAGTCTGGTCCAAGTAATCTGTTCCTGCACCCATTCTTTGATCCAAAATAGGAATGATATCATGCTACTAGTACATGTACGGTATTTCGGCAATGTCCATTTCCCCTTCCCTGCTTGTGTTCATACATGTGTTCTGTAATCTGAGCTCCAAGAAGGAATACTTATATTATTACTGTCCATTTATTTGTTAGTTTGTATGTTTGTGTTACCTGACTGCTAAGAAAGCATATGTATGCTTGCAAGAAAGCAACCAGGGGACCAATGGCTTTAAGTCCTCACCAAGGAGCTTGATAATGTGGATTCATGCCTTACAAAAGGGCACTAGCGCATTGACTTGGTTTTGAACCTGGGACCTCCCAGTTATGAAACCACTGCTCTACCACTGGGCCATCACATCTCCTGTACATGCTGTAGTCCATTGAATCAAGCTAAAATGTAGAAATAATGTCCGGGCCTGAAGACAACTTTACGTACATATTCTTGTTCTTTTTTTATCCAATTAAGCTAGGAACATGTTTACTTTACATCTCATGTTAATATAGTTTTTTATGATTCTTAGTCTTGAAACAAATGAAGAAAAAAAAAATCAAAAACTTTACTGGATAGAGTTTCTTTAGGGCTATGTTCATGCCATGATAAAAATGTAATACCCTCATGAAATATTTGCAGACATGTTATCCTGATCGTAACCCTTATTCAACAATGGTATTATTTACTTCTCTTCGGAGCTTACTAGAAGTTCTATGAATAATGCCATTTATGAATATAAATACCCGGTAGAATGCAACCGCCATTGTTGGTCAAACAGTTTTTGAGCGTCAAGTAATGCCTGGTAGGAATGCTCCCCAGGGAGTGGAGATTGTGCGCAAAATGACCGGGGTAATAGTATATCTGTAGAGCGCTTAGAGACATTTGTATTAAGCGCTATATAAAAGCGGAATATTATTATGAATATTGCTTTAGACCAATTTGAATACGAGACAGTTCTGCTCCTGTACTAATTAGATATTTTCCACATACAAATCCTCCAATTTCTATACCATAATGTTTATGTTCTTTGAACTACCCCCCCCCCCCCACAGAAAAAACATCTTTTAGTTACAAGTTTAAATGTATGTAGAGATTACATACAATAGTTACAGAATGTATACAATAAGATTTATTTATTTGAAAGTAATTTGAGAAGATACCATAATGAAATGCACTTATATGTGATTTTAATTTTTACTAAAAGAAGTTAATACTGTATACACTTATGTACCATGTACTTGGTAAGATTGTCTATTATAGAATTTGATGACCCGATTGATTTAACATGTAAATGGAAGGGGGAAAAAAATCTAAATCTTTGTCATGCCTGTTTTGTTCCAAAATGGTATAAAGGAACAGAAGGTTATACTCACCAATTAAAAAAAAAAAAAAAAAAACACTCAAAAAAGCTTTATTTATATGGTGCTTGTTCAAATTGCGAGGGGGGGGGGGGTAAGAGGAGAGAATAATAGTTATAAATAGAACATTTTCTTCTGCTGTAAATGTAAATTTGTCCTTCAAAGTCACAATTTTTGCAAGACTTAGATTAGATGTATGTTTTGGGCAAATACAGTTGTTAGCCATGCTGGTCCATTATCTGGTTATCATTTGCCAAAAGCCCAATTCGGCAAAGCCTTTATGTAAAACCCTGAAAATAGATATATATTTATTATCTTTTAAAAATTATTTAGTCTCCAGTAGATCATATTTAGGCAATTATTACAGATTATTAGTAATTTCTTGTGCACTGTTTGCATGCTATTGGTTTCTAATCTGATGAAGATTATTGCTTCTGCCACAAGCAAGCTGCTTTTTATGATTTTGAAAAGTATTAAATATTCTACAAGTACTTTATCACATGTTTATTGTAGTATGTCCCAGTTTGACATTCTGTGCGAATTGTTCGTTTACACAAGTATTACATGCAACTTTGACTTACCGTATATAGTATTTTGTTTACGCTCCCAATGTACACTTTACATGAATTAAACAAATGTTAGTTATTTTTTTGCATCGGGTATACATTTTATTTTATTTGATGTGTATTCAAGACATATACATCAACATATATACATTTACATTATCTAGATGTATGATAATGACATGGTATATATATATATATATATATATATATATATATATATATATATATACAGAAAAGGGGTCATCTCAAGCATAAAAGGGGTCGTCGCAAATTAAATAAATCCACTTTAGTTAGAGGGGCTTCCTCACCATAACAGAGTTATCATACTTCAGGACATGTTTTTTTTTTGCTTTTTGCACAGAATTGGCAAGAATTTATATTTGTTATAGTCATTATTGATAATTTGCCATTTTTAAAGATTTGGATCATCTACATGTACTCTAAGATGAACCTGCAATGTCGTTTTTAGTTGAAAATTGGGAATTTATAAATATGAAAAGTGCATTAAAGAATGCATCATATTACACCCATATTAGTATACTGTATAGTGGCAATACTACATGTACAGGTTTACATGTGACATGAAGAAATATATGATTTTAAAGTTTAACATCTCTTTCTGTTGTTAAGTATTATTTTGACATGCCGGGGTCAGAAATGCCCATATTGCCATTTTATTGCTCACCTTCTAAAGCCTTGTTCAAATTACATGTAGCTTTTAAGAACTTGTTATTGTTGTAGAAATGGTGAGAATTAAGTAATTCTCAGAAGTTTTATCTAAGATAGGAATACGATGAAGCTGTTGTATTTGCTACTCGTATGTGTATTTGATTGAAAGGGCCTTTTATTGGAGAGTGGAAGAAAGAGCAAAAATACTCTCTATATCGGTTTTAAAGATAAAGTTGAGTTCTGGTCATGTGATTGCATTGTGAAAGAAACGGTGTGGAATCTATCAGAAAAGGTTGATCATCTAGTATATAAGTATTAATGTGTAATGCAAGGTTCTGGAATCATCAAAATGATAAGAAATTTGGCCAAATCTTGGCAAAGTTACAAGCACTGTACACAGAACGATGTATATGGGACTACACAAACACATGGCGAAAAAATCCTACCCGGATTTTTACGATGTTTCATGTCATATTTAGAATATGAAGGCACTTGACGAGCCATGCTTTTCAGGGAACATGTTTAATCTGATGTTCTTCCACCCTTGCATAATTACAATGAAAACGCTCACAAATTATTTTTTACCCGTTCACAGAACTCAACCTTCTCTTTAAAGACTTGAGAATAGAGTATGATACAGGGATCAGAAGTATTAAAATGGATCCTTGTTTTAATGCATCGTTTCTTCAATACATCGTTAATTTCTAAAATGTATCCAGCCAATTACAGCCTATTATACGAAAGCATATTAAATCTATTGTTAAAAATGAGATCTCTGGTTTACGATGTCATTTGATCTGCGAGTGTGTAGTGGTATAGAAGATGAGAGATGGAGAAGTTACAATGTATATGGACCTAGTGTAATTGTGTAAATCAATTATTTTCTTTGCGAAAGTCTCCAACAGAAGAAATGTGCAGTGTTCATTACATTTTTTTCATTTTTACATGTACATTTTTTTCAAAGATGACTACTGGTATTCAGTATAGTTAAATGGAAATCCAACCCTTGTAATAAGTCATTTGAATGAAAGCAGAAATATCAGAGAAAAGAATGGCGGAAGTTTAAAATAAATAGGACCACTAAATTATGAATATTTGAAAACATCTGAAGATTATGACATAGCAACGGAAAACTGTTCCGTTTATCAAGTACAAAAGTTTTACTAATTTCTGTTTTTCTACCAAGTGCCTTTACCCTTGTGGCATTGCTCAAAATATATTGTGGAGAGTATATTACGACAGGTCCTCTAAAAAGAAAAAGGCATCCAGATTCCTGAGTCACAACATTTTTGGAAAACTGAAATATTAGTCATATTTTGTGTGTTGGAACAAATTGGAAAGTTTTGCATCACTATATCACAGAGACATTACCGATTCAGCTGATTTGAAGAGCCCATACCTTTTAGTGTGGTACGGTACGTCACTGAAACAGCTGCCGTAGGACTTTTGTGCCAAAATTGATTTTTTTTTTTTTTTTTTTTTTTTTTTTTTTTGGGGGGGGGGGGGGGGGGGGGGTTGCATTTTTGGATTAAAATGTCTAAGCTATCAGAAATTGATGGGGTTCAAATTTTCCCAAAGACACCAAATTATTACAGATTATTAGTAATTTCTTGTGCACTGTTTGTATGCTATTTGTTTCTAACCTGTTCAAGATTATTGCTTCTGCCACAAGCAAGCTGCTTTTATGATTTTGAAAAGTATTACATATTCCACAAGTACTTGATCACATGTTTTATGGTATTTTGTCCCAGTTTGACATTCTGTGCAAATTATTTGTTTGGACACGTATTACATGCAACTTTGACTTATATGGTATTTTGTTTTTGCTCCCAATGTACACCTTACATGAATTAAACAAATGTTAGTTATTTTTTTGCATCAGGTATACATTTTATTTTATTTGATGTATATGCAAGACATATACATCAACATAATTATATACATTTACATTATCTAGATGTATGATAATGACATGGTATATACAGAAAAGGGGTCATCTCAAGCATAAAAGGGGTCGTCTTAAGCAAATTAAATAAATCCACTTTAGTCAGAGGGGCTTCCTCACCATAACAGAGTTATCTTCAGGACATGTTTTTGTTTTGCTTTTTGCACAGGACTGGCAAAAATGTATATTTGTTATAGTCATTATTGATAATTTGCCAGTATTGAAGATTTGGATCATCTACACGTACTCTAAGATGAACCTGCAATGTCATTTTTAGTTGAAAATTGGAAATGTATAAATATAAAAAGTGCATTAAAGAAAGGATCACATTACGCCCATATTAGTATACTGTATAGTGGCAATACTACATGTACATGTGACATGAAGAAATACATGATTTTAAAATTTGACATCTCTTTCTGTCAAGTATTATTTTGACATGGGTCAGAAATGCCCATATTGCCATTTTATTGCTCACCTTCTAAAGCCTTGTTCAAATTACATGTAGCTTTTAAGAACTTGTTGTTGTAGAAATGACGAGAATTAAGTAATTCTCAGAAGTTTTATCTAAGATAGGAATATGATGAAGCTGTTGTATTTGATGCTCGTACGTGTATTTGATTGAAAGGGCGGTTTATTGGAGCTAGAGTGGATAAAAGAGCGAAAATACTCTCTATATCGGTTTTAAAGACTTGAGAATGGAGTATGATACAGGGATCAGAAGTATTAAAAATGGATCCTTGTTTTAATGCATCGTTTTTTCAATACATTGTTAATTTCTAAAATGTATCCAGCCAATTACAGCCTATCATACGAAAGCATATTAAATCTATTGTTAAAAATGAGATCTCTGGTTTACGATGTCATTTGATCTGCGAGTGTGTAGTGGTATAGAAGATGAGAGATGGAGAAGTTACAATGTATATGGACCTAGTGTAATTGTGTAAATCAATAATTTTCTTTGCGAAAGTCTCCAACAGAAGAAATGTGCAGTGTGTTCATTACATTTTTTTCATTTTTACATTTCTTTCGAAGATGACTACTGGTATTCAGTATAGTTAAATGGAAATCCAACCCTTGTAATAAGTCATTTGAATGAAAGCAGAAATATCAGAGAAAAGAATGGCGGAAGTTTAAAATAAATGGGACCACTAAATTATGAATATTTGAAAACATCTGAAATCTGAAGATTATGACATAGCGACGGAAAACTGTTCCGTTTATCAAGTACAAAAGTTTTACTAATTTCTGTTTTTCTACCAAGTGCCTTTACCCTTGTGGCATTGCTCAAAATATATTGTGGAGAGTATATTACGACAGGTCCTCTAAAAAGAAAAAGGCATCCAGAGTCAGCTGATTTGAAGAGCCCATACCTTTTAGTGTGGTACGGTACGTCACTGAAACAGCTGCCGTAGGACTTTTGTGCCAAAATTGATTTTTTTTTTTTTTTTTTTTTTTTTTTTTTTTTTTTTTTTGGGGGGGGGGGGGGGGGTTGCATTTTTGGATTAATTGGGGTCCAAGCTATCAGAAATTGATGGGGTTCAAATTTTCCCGAAGACACCAAATTTCCCTATTGCGCTTAATATAAGCCATTTTGGCGCACAATATGGACCCCCATGGAAGTGAAGGAGGGGCCTGAAAATTTGAACCCCATCATTTTTGGCCAATTGGGACCCTTTTGAAGCCAAAACGCAACAACAACAAAAAATCAACTTTGGCAAAAAATCCTACGGGATTACATACATACCATACCGCACTACTTAGTGATTGCAACTTTTTAAATAATTTCATAACTTCCTCATTTTTTTCTGGAGTAGTTTGCCATCAAGGTTGGATTCCCCTTTATCTTATCAAATGAAGATCGTACTCTTAAAAGTAAAACCTATGTACAAAGATGGTGCAGTATTCAGTATGAATATATTTGTAAGTCTTATTAAAACTTTGGTATAAAGCCTATTTATCTTCTCCAATGCATATTTCTACCTTGGGGCCTGAATTACTAATACCACACTTAAAAAAATGGAGTCAATAACAACAATAAATCACCAAACTTCATCATTATACTATGTTTATATTCATATAGCTCTTTTATATAAAGTGCATACCATCACAACTCTAAACACAACATCACTTCAGATGCAATCCTGGGTTAATTACTTCAATCCAGTGAAGGACATAAATCTTTCACAATGTGAATCTGTAGCACTGTACTTCAAGTATATGCCTTTTCATTTTGCATGATGGTGAATGCAACATAGCATGGATTATCACATGTTTTATCAGATTACAAAGATGATAAAATAGAAATCTAAAGATACAGAAATATTGCAAACACATTTTTTTTCACTGATGAAAAAATACATTTCAGCTATGGAGTACATATTTAGGGGAACATGTGTAATTTCTATGTATTAGCTTTACCAATGTGAGTAGAATAATATCATTTGGGATTGGAGTAGCAAAAGGATTAAATACTCATGCACAGACACAGCACAAACTCTCTAAAAGCACACACGTTGCTTATAAAAACATCTTACTTCCATACTGTAAAGTAACTCATCAACTTCTCCTTCAACAAATATATATTGACAATGAAATTCAGAGATGTGCTATCCAAAGAAGGGTCCATTAAGCTGAATGGCAGTTAATAAGGATAACATTTAATCATGCTATTGACCTACCACTTCATGCTAGGGTGATACCACTTGAATGTGCTGGCTGATACAGCATGGGCGATTCAATTACTTTTATTTTGATTATTCACATGCGTAAATAGGCAATCTTGTAATGAAAACTAATTTAGAAATATTTAAGTTTCCACTTTGTCATGTCCTCATATATATATTTCACACCAGTAAACATTCAAGGTATTGTATACCGGTAATTACAAAAAATACTGCTTATGTGACTGGGACTCGCAACAGAAATGAAACATTACTTCCTTTTCTTTATTATTTACTGACTAACATTAACAACCCTGTATTGTGTAAGATGATGACTATTGAAAATAGTTTGGTACAAAATAGCATTAAAAAGCTCTAGATTTATTCTCCATTTAAAACGTGGAAGCCTTAAACAATTTTGACCACATGTCGTCTGAGTAATCAAATGGGTATTTCATACTTGAGAATTTGATGGAGGAATTTGAAAGATCTGGCAAATACCCATACATAACATTGATACACTTGACCTTAAAACCTCTGTGAAATGACTTTCAGAAGAAGAAAAAAGTTAAATAAGCTTGCACAAGGTCTGTTTGAAATACAGTTAATCCAGAAATGCCAACCTCTTGACACAAAAAAACAGACGGAGTATCCTAAAAAAAAAAATTAGATTTTGGAGAGAAAAATCAGATTTTCACAAAAACTCGACACTACCACTGGCCCGTCGACCCAGCTAGCAAGTAAAATTTAGAAAAATCTTTTACTGGTTTTATGGTCAAGTAAAATGTTTGCTCTTTCATTAAAATTTAATGAGAAAATTGTAAAGCAAAGTTTTTGTTGGGGTTGCGGGGGTTTACTTGTACATGTTTCTATGCGATTCCGCTGTTTTTATGGGGTTTTAAATTATTATTTTTTTTTTTTAATATTTTTTTTTAAAGATGAAAAATTGCATTATAAGAGATGATATCATATCATATTTCACTCTTATTATCGTAATAAATACGATTTAATCGTACTGGTTGGCATCTCTGTTAATCCACTAGTATGTTGCTAGGTCGCAGGTACTCTGTAATGCAGTGTATACATGTATATAGTATTTATATTTAATTTCCATTTTGGGAGAAGGGTGAAGAAAATAGAGAAGCATAACCCCTATGACAGAATACAAATTATTTGCAAATTATTTGCAAATATGAGTGGAGGATAACATACTATAACATTGACTATTCATTCTTTTTAAAGGAAAACTTTTGTGATACTTTATTTATTCCTAAATAAGAAAAAGTAAATAACAATTCAGACATTGTCATTTGGCAGCTTTCTGTATTTCAATGATCTTTAATATAGGTCTTCTCTAACAGTAAATACACATACTATTGCCATACTAATTGTTCACTTCATATGCAGTATCACTGATTTGTAATACAAAAGTTGAGAGAAATGCATGTATCAAACATCCCGTTCGCTAAAGCAAATCATTCCACAATCATACAGGAAGCTCACAAAATCACATCTGGGGCTGACCTTCTCAATAACATAGCCTTGAAAATATTCAAGGATAGCATGTGTAATAAATACATTTTCTTCATTTAAAAAAAAAAAAATGTGTCTATGGCGTACACTTCATTCAGCAGGTTGCGGGTTCAATGCCTTTCTCATTGTACGAGCGAATGGCCCGTCATATCAGCTGGGATGTCATGACCCATTAGCTTGAGTACTGTCGGTGCTACATCCTGGAGTGATGCATTGTGGGAAGGGTCAATGTACTTCTTCCCAGAGTTGTACATGGAGAAAGGTACTGTCATTTTGAAAAGAAAGAGGTGGGAAATGGGGTTAAAAGATACAGGTATATAATTTGTCCATCCATTCTCAATTTTATTTCTATACAACAACAAAAAAGATCTATTTTATTGAAAAAATTTGTCAAAACTGTTATGTTTTAAATATGAACACAGAAAGGCTCATCATCATAAATTCAGATTCCTTAAAAAAAAAACAGGTCATTTACAAATGCCGTAGGTTATTGACATGAATCACTGTCTGATTCATTTAGGCACATTGGCAACGAGAATAACTGATGATGATGGTGATGATGATAATAATAATAATAATAATAATAATAATATTCATTTGTAAAGCGCAATAACTATGTGGATATATTCTACTGCGCTGCAAGAGCTCGTAAATGCTGTGCTATACATACTATATGAACAAGTGAGTTTTCAGTTTTGATTTAAAATTATCTAGTGATGGGGCTTTCCTAATTTCTAGTGGTAATTTATTCCATAATCTAGGGGCAGCACAGAGAAATGACCGGTCCCGAGGGTTACTTTGGTTTTATATGGGGGTATTTGCAACATAGACGTGTCTTGTGTACTACGAAGGTTACGACCATGAGTTTCAGACTTGATATGCAACAATTCAGTAACGTAACTAGGAGTTTGACCATTTAGAGCTTTGTAGACTATCATTAATATTTAAATGTAATTCTCTGGCGATGATGATGATATACATAATAATAATGTGAACAATACTAATGAACTACTAGTAAAAGATTCTGGATTTTAGCATAGCTTTGACAGGGGCAGGGGTGCACAGTGTTTAACTCTTACCTCTCATTTTTGTGTGTTTTGTACTTGGGCTACCATCTGGGGCAAGCATGACCTCTGCGTTGCCAGGTAGTGGGAGAAGGGGGGGGGGGGGCTGTTAGCGGTAAGGGTAGACAGGGGTAGGGGTGCACAGTGTTTAACTCTTACCTCTCATTGTAGTGTGTTTTGTACTTGGGCTACCATCTGGGGCAAGCATGACCTCTGCATTGCCAGGTAGTGGGAGAGGGGAGAGGGGGAGGGAGGGGGGGGGCGGAAGGGAGTGTTAGCGGTAAGGGTAGACAGGGGTGCACAGTGTTTAACTCTCACCTCTCATTGTTGTGTGTTTTGTACTTGGGCTACCATCTGGGGCAAGCATGTCCTCTTTGTTGCCAGGTAGTGGGAGAGGGGAGAGGGGAGGGGAGGGAGGGGGGGGGGGGCTGTTAGCGGTAAGGGTAGACAGGGGTGCACAGTGTTTAACTCTTACCTCTCATTGTTGTGTGTTTTGTACTTGGGCTACCATCTGGGGCAAGCATGTCCTCTTTGTTGCCAGGTAGTGGGAGAGGGGAGAGGGGAGAGGGGAGGGGAGGGGGGGGGGGGCTGTTAGCGGTAAGGGTAGACAGGGGTGCACAGTGTTTAATTCTAACCTCTCATTGTAGTGTGTTTTGTACTTGGGCTACCATCTGGGGCAAGCATGTCCTCTGCCTTGCCAGGTAGTGGGAGAGGGGAGAGGGGAGGGGAGAGGGGGGCTATTAAGCGGTGAGGGTAGACAGGGGTGCACAGTGTTTAACTCTTACCTCTCATTGTAGTGTGTTTTATACTAGGGCTACCATCTGGGGCAAGCATGACCTCTGTGTTGCCAGGTAGTGGGAGAGGGAAGGGGGAGAGGGAAGAGGGGGGGGGGGGGGGGGGGGGGGGGCTGTTAGCGGTAAGGGAAGACAGGGGTGCACAGTGTTTAATTCTCACCTCTCATTGTTGTGTGTTTTATACTAGGGCTACCATCTGGGGCAAGCATGACCTCTGTGTTGCCAGGTAGTGGGAGAGGGAAGAGGGGAGAGGGAGAGGGGAGAGGGGAGGGGGGGGGGGATAAGGGTAGACAGGGGTGCACAGTGTTTAACTCTTACCTCTCATTGTTGTGTGTTTTGTACTTGGGCTACCATCTGGGGCAAGCATGACCTCTGCATTGCCATGATCAGCTGTCACTAGGAGGACATAGCCACTCTCTTGACAAGCATTCTTCATGGTATTAATGGCAGCATCTGTAATGAAGAAAAGAGAAGCATGCAAAATTTACACTCATCAAATTTTTTTGGGTGTGGTCTACTCAGACAGCTCTCACTGAAAGATCAGGGCCATTACTAACTTTAATACTGTAAATCTCTGAGTATAAGAACACTTTTTTGCCGCCGAAAAAAAAAAATAGTCGGGGTGCGTCTTATACACAGGTACAATTTTTTTTTGATTTACGCCCCTCCACCTGGCAATGTCTCTCAGCTCAGTAGTCGGTGTGTTGACTCACCACTCAGAAAATTTGTCTGTTGTCTTTAGTTTTAAAAAACGACATTGTGACATTTATTTGTGACAAGTTCACAAACACAAATCAACGCCTTCACCTGCACCTCTCAGTTAAATGAAAGTCCTTCCCGGGTCGGGTTTTTAACAAGGACCATCGGCAAAAAAGGAAAAAACAACATTTTTTTTCTTTTTTTCTTGGCCCCCCAAAATAGGGGTGCGTCTTATACACAGAGATTTACTGTACTTTACTGTCAGAATTATGAGTATTTTATTCATCTTTCGGCTCAGAAAATACTGAGCCAACTTCAATATTCAGATTAAGCTTTTGGCTAAATATTTTACCTGAAGCTTAAAGTGACTTGGTAACATTGTTGAAGGTTGATGAAAAAAATTGCTTAATTTTTGTATAAAATGTTACCTACTATATTCCTTCTACTGTACTAACCCTCCGACATGCAAAAAAAGCTGAAAAAATATAGCTCAGTTGGAAGAGCAGTGGTCTCGTAATCCAGTGACCCGGGTTCGAAACCAAGGCTAGTGCCCTTTGGTACGGCATTAATCCTCATTACCAGGTCCCTTGGAGAGAGCCTAAATCCGTTGGCCGTCTGGTAGCTTACTTACAAGCATTTATGCTTTCTTAGCAGTCAGGTAAAATAACCACCACCACCATTTATTTATGTATCAAGATTGATGAGATTTTGGCTTTAAGAATACAAAAATATGAACGATTCATTATCATTCATGCTGTATCAGGAAGACTACCCCTTGAACTATGACCTCCCAGATACCCATCCCTTCCCCCAACACCCACCCCACCAATTAACCTACATAACTATTGTTATAAACCTGCTTTCTATTTCCCAAAGTCATGACATAATGGCACTACCATAAAATGGTTCTTAACTTAAAGGTCATGACTCACTGGGGGTCATTAGGGTTCATATTTTGACAATAAGAATTGGGAAGTTTTAGCACGGTATGCCTCCGAAAATAAGAACTCACATTTGCAGTGAAGTGTAACTGGCAATACGCGGTAAATCTGTACCAAAGGCGAATACAAATTCACTGCTCTATCATGCAGCCATTCAAGGCACGCAATACGTGAACTCTCATATCGCGGCACATGATAAAAAAAGCTTAATTTGGCTCTAAGCACCACAAAAAAAAGAAGAAAAAAAAGAAAAGGAAATCAAAATTTTGAAAAATCAGAATATTCCAAATTTCAAGGTCCTAAAAATCCCCAAAATCAGATATTATGGATTTTTTGTAAAGGTTGGCAGGTATGAAAAAGCGTATGCGTTACCTGTTGCTTCACAAGCCTTGATGGTGGCCTCATAGACTCCAGTGTGTCCGACCATATCAGGAGGGGCGAGGTTACACATCACAAACGGGTAACGCTTTGATTTGACTGTAGCTGCTACCTGTGAGGACAGAGAGAGAGAGAGAGAGAGCAGTAGGTAGGGAGGGAGGGGAGAGGGGAGGGAGGGGGAGAGGGGAGAGAGGGGGAGGGAGGAGAGGGAGGGGAGGGAGGGGGAAAGGGAGGGAGGGAGAGGGAAGAGGGGAAAGGGAGGGAGAGGGAAAAGGGGAGAGGGAGGGAGTGGGAGAGGGGAGGGAAGGGGAGAAGGAAGGGAGGGGAGAGAGGGAGGGAGGGAGAGGGAAGAGGGGAAAGGGAGGGAGAGGGAAGAGGGGAAAGGGAGGGAGAGGGAAGAGGGAAAAGGGAGGGAGAGGGAAGAGGGGAAAGGGAGGGAGAGGGAAGAGGGGAAAGGGAGGGAGAGGGAAGAGGGAAGGGAGGGAGTGGGGAGAGGGAGGGAGGGAAGGGAGAGGGAGGGGGAGGGAGGGAGGGAGGGAGGGAGGGGAGAGAGGGGGATCGAAGGAAGATAAAGTAAGAGAGCGGGAGAGGGAGGAAAATGAGAGCAACTTCCACAACAAGTGAATACCATTTAAAATTGAACTTCGTATCCTAAATGAACTTAGCTGGTATGCAGTATGTTCGTAAATGTATTTCATAAAATAATGTCAAAATAAATTTTGATTCAAACTATAATCTACCTTTTCTACTAGTATTACTTTCCATAGAGCACACTACAAAGAACTATGGACTTGTGCATCTTGTTGAACTATGGACTTGTACAGTTTTCTATGAATAATACAATTGTCTGTGCAAACACTGTGAAATTAGCTGCAAGGCATCTACAAATACAAAGACTCTACAAATATGAGGTAGAAACAATTTTTGTTGTTGTACATAATAACTCTTGATACAAGTGGAGCAAATAGTTTGAAGATATTTCTGTCCATGCGTTGTGTAATAAAACAACCTTGAATTTTGTGTACAAATGATGCCACCTCATCTATGGTAATTAAGGTACAGGGCCCCGTTTCATAAAGCTTGTTATCAATAACAAATGCTGAATTTCTGTGACAAATTTGCCGTCAGCCAATCAAATATCACAATTTCAGTAGCTTATAAGAGTAGTCGTAACTTGTTATTGATGAAACAGTTTTATGAAGCAGGGCCCACGTCAATGTGCATTAACTATTAAATTTCAACAGCAAGTGAAGTTTAAAGATGAAGTTGAGTTCTGGTCATGCGATTGCATATAAGTATTGTGTGTATTGCAAGGTTCTGGAATCATCAAAATGATAAGAAATTGGCCAAGTCTTGGTAAAGTTACAAACACTGTACACAGAAAGATGTATATGGGACTACACGAACACGTGGCGTAAAAAACCTACCCCCCCCCCCCCCCGAGTTTTAAGATGTTACATGACATATTTAGAATATAAAGGCATTTAAAGAGCCATTCAGGGAACATGTCTCATCTGATGTTCTTCCACACTTGCATAATAAGAATGATGACGCTCACAAATTATTTTTCATCTCTTCCCAGAACTCAACCTTCTCTTTAATTTATTCAGCGCAGACATCTTCTTTACCTCGTCTGCAACCCCTTGAACGCTCATCTCTGGTTTGAGGTCATAGGTCGCGACCCTGGGTGAAGGGACCAACTTCCTGTCCTCCCCATCAAACTGCTTCTCCACACCACCGTTGAAGAAGAAGGTGACATGAGCATACTTTTCAGTCTCTATAACAGCAATCAAAAGATAAAACATACAATCAAACCTGCTTTAACGACCACCTGTATAGAAAGACTACCTGTCTACAAAGACCACATTTGTTGTTTCCCTTGAAACTGGTTTCTCATTGAAAAATGTACTTGAGGAACCTGTACATAATGACCACCTGCCTATAAAGACCACTTTCTTGTCTCTATATGTTCTTTATAGACAGGTTTCACTGTACACTATACCCAGTGGTGCTCTGACATACGCTTTGGCAACAAGAATTTCTTTGGGCTTTATTTGATCAAAAGATATCGGGTTAGGTTAGCGTTGTTATGTTAAATGTATTGGGTTTTAGGTTATATTTAGGTTAAAAGGAGGAGAGACCCGAGGCCATAGTGATTGAGTATTCTTCTCCCTACTTGGGCCAAGCTAGGTGATGCCAAATCTTTAATAGGGACTTTTAGATTTGCACGTCAACATAGTGGATTGCTACGTGTGACGTCCTTTTAAGGCACTGCAATCCACTATGTCGACGTGCAAATCTAACAGTCCCTAATAATGATACAAATAATGATAAACAGGTACCTTGTAAGATAAGGGTAGGTACATTTATAATGTTGGTCAAGAATTGAAGTTGAGAATTTGCTTAGTGTAGGAACTGGACTGCGGAGCAGTTGTTGCCAAAGCACAAATCGTACAACTGAGTCAGTACCCACATAAAAAGTACAAGTTTTACGACATCCCACTGAAACGTGTGTGTTGCAATTAACACGCGTTGCAATTGGTGGTTGGCAAACTTACAAGTACAAGCAAACTATAACATAAATGTATGGCTTTTTTCTTCTGATTACGGTAAATCTGATACACCACAGTTAAAGTGCCCATACATCGCACAAAACAAGGATCATATTCTAACATGGCTCTATGTGGTTACCCTTTAGAAGGATGGAATAAAATGTTGTTCCCTTTAATAGTAAGAGACAGATGATAGAAACATATCAAAGAGAGGCATCAGTTCACTTCACTGAAGAAACCTGAGTGACTTGACTCACGCAAAGATCCTACAGACAAGGAATATCACTGGAAAAAGATACAGCACCAAACCAGAGTAAACATACATTAATCAATACCATCCATATTTTCTAGAGGATTGTTATATTGTAATTCTAATGAAGAGTGTCATCTTCTATTTGTTTCATTACAGATCGTGTTCATTGTTAAAGTCAATGTATAGCGGCTGACTGACACAAATAGACAGCCATCTTATTCATTTCCATCTACTCTTTATCTACAGTTGTGAAAGAAAATTAATCTAGCAATATGAAGGAAGCTGATACAATCTGTGAGTTTTACATGTAAAGTGTACCTGCGCAGTGATACTGTGGTATGCCCTTTGCTGATAACCATTCTGCCAAGACGTTCTTAGCCTTTTCAGGTGGAAAGATGACTGGAAGGTTGAAGCTTTCTTTGTATTCAGTCATACAAGTCACACTCTGAAGAGTTAAAAACAACAACAATCAAAGAAACAAACAAACATACAAACAAACAGTCAACAATATGATTCTTTAAAGGTCATGTATAATTTTGGTAAGCCCTGAAAAAACTGTTGTCAGATTTCTTTGATTTTAGATCATAAATACCAAATACTAGTTAATGTATACCAAGCTTCTGTAAAGTGTTTTTCTCCTCAAGCGAAATATTACACAAATGAGAGGTAAAAAAATGATTTACACTGTACATATCAAGCCTGGATGTAAATTCCAACGACAGTAAATCCACTAAACAAGTGTAAAATTATGATGACTGTGTCTATATGTGCTATCTCCAGGGAAAGTGCTGAGATTATTTTGCAGGGAGCCATCAGGGTGGAAGAGTCCTAGCATACCGAAGTGTACAGCTGTTATCTTGCATTTCTTGCAGATATTTACACTAAAAGTCATCGGAAATCATGAATAGAATGCCAATGATCTCATGTATACACATATATCTTTTCATGTCAGGAGAACAATGTGTGGCTATACTGTACATTAGCTTTAATAGTCAATGCACAGGTACACAGCAATGGTACGTTAAATATCGAGTGCCTTGGGGCTAGCAAATGATTACATGCATATTAATGCAGAGCTCGTTGTTGTTGTTAGATTATGTTTTAAGGCAATTCAGTCAACATTGACTATTTATGCCTAAAATTGCTCCAATCACTTATATACCGGTACATCAAATTAAAATCTTAACCACTGTATAAATTTGCTTCCTAGGAGTAGAAAAGAGCATGGATTTTGATCAAATAGTGATTGATTTCTCAAATTGCCTGCAGGCAACCAATTTATGTACTAGCTTAAAACCAAAGATATGTCGCTTATGAATATAATCAGGGGTGATAGTGAACATTATATACATGTACCTCACTTAAGAAATCCAGCCATCTGATTGGTCGAAATTGCATTCATAAACATTAACTATTTCTGTAAAATTTCCAGTAACCACGGTTAAAACAGTTCTAAAATCCCAGTAACCATGGTTACCGAGAAAATAGTTCAGTCTCCATGGTTACCCCATAGGTTTAAATGTTAAAAAATGGTTTGAGCGATTGAGGATACCGTACGTGTGCGTAGAATTGGTCGGTATTTTCATACAAGACAAGACAATTCCAAACAAGACAAAAATGGCTCAAGAAACTCTCCCAAGATTTCAACTTATCAAATGCAAGACTCGCTGACAGCAAGAACAACAAAAAGGGTACGTGAAATTATCCATAAACATGTTCGTTTAGTTGCTGAAAAAGCATAGACGTAGACTCTAGACGAAAATAGATCTAGTTGTCAGGGTGTCTGATCGCGCACCCGATGTTGTGTGTTACAATTCTTCTTATAGAGTTTGCACGCAATTGCAGTTGCTATGCAGTCTACGTGCATTGCGCGACCATGCAAAAAAAGTCAAGTTTTTTTTTTCTTCAATTCGAGATTCAAACCTTTATCTGTTGTGATCCTGAAGGTGATACTCAATAAGTGAGGTGTCATATGAAAGCGCAGGTTCTTCTCCATATTACTCACAGGGCCGGCCCACCCCCAAAATTGTAAAAATATCTTGCTTAGACTAGAATCTAGATCTAGTCTACTCTCAAAGATACACTCATAAAAAACAACTGTGCAGATAAACTAGAGAAAGGCCAAGGTGGTGTCATTAGTTGACTCTTTTGTTTTCGGCATATAAAAGTATTAATGACTGCTTTAATATTCGAGAAATAGTTGTTTTTATACGCTCTCGGGAAGGTTACAATTGGGCTATTGCCCTCGGCACGCCTCGGGCAATAGAACAATTCTAACCTTCCCTTGAGCGTATAAAAACAACTATTTCTCTCAAAGCAGTCATTAATACTATACTAAAAAAAAATAGGTTTTTTGTTTTCCCCTCAACCACGCCCCCCTTGAGTAAAAAAGAAGAAGAGGATTCGGGGGGAAAAAATGGCACCTAGCAACATTCCCACCTTTCGAGCAAGAAAATTGGGGAAAACATAGGGCAAAATAGGGAAGAATAGAGAAAATGAGGGGGGAATCGGGAAAATCAGGATAAAATAGGGAAGGAAAAAAAAAAAACTGGTAAAAAAAAAAAAAAATCTGGATTTTTAATTTTTTTTTTATTAATCGGGAAGAAGAAAAAAAAATCGGGAAAAAATCGGGAAAAATCACACAAAAAAAATTGATAAACCGATTTAAATCGGGTTTTTATCAGGCCTGATATAATGTGTACACTGTAACTCCCACATTCAAGCTAATATATATCTGAAGAAAAAAATAATAATAATAATCCCACACAAAAGTGTTTTTTAAGTCTCTCTTCATAAAAAGTTAATTTTTTCACAATATAATTGATGGATTACATATGCATATCAAAATACAGACAAGGTCACATTTTCTTTTTACTTACGATATTTTGGGGGACGACGCTCGTCTCAAACTTGCGCTCGATGGCCATTGCTTCAACAATCTGCCTCATGCGATCTGCCCTGAAGTCAATAAACATCAAAGTATCCCCATCTCGAATGCATCCTTCCTTATCGACGATGATGGGTGTCAAGAACTCATCCGTCTGTCTCTCACTGCCCTCCTTGTCATAACGAGATTGCACCAACTGGGAAAAGGTAGATGGAGAAATATTGGAGTTGTACTGCATATAAGCCTTTGTGCAATTAAACGAGTACTGGGGGGTGTTTCATAAAGCTGTTCGTACAGTTACGCATGACTTTACGAGCGACTTGTATATGAAAAGCCAAATGGGATGCTCAATCATTATTAACTGCATTAACTGAAGTTGAACTGTGCAGATGTAGATTAACATAATTATCATAACAAACATTTTCAATGCAAAGTATATTTTGTGCCATAATTTAATTGAGTTTATTCGAAATATCAAGAAAAACTTTGGGCATCCTATCTGGCGCCTCAAGTCGTTCGTAAAGCCATGCATAACTTTACAAACAACTTTATGAAACACCTCCCTGGTAACCCCTTCGTGCTACTGTCTGTATGCACTTTGAGTAAACCAGATATAAGAAGATTTGAAATCTCACAAATATTTGTCATGGTCATTGTACTATAATATGACCTCGATTATTTCCCTCAGAAAAAAAAAACAGTAGATAAATAGAGTATTGCCTGTTGTGTAAAAGAATGGGCCAATATTCATATATTATTGAACTATTTAGATCATTCATTTTTCCTTTCATCAAAAATAAATCAATGGGTAATAATTTATTTTATTTTGTCATTAATGTCTTATACATAGCACACACATTTTAAGAGTCAAAACGTCAGGTTGCTCTAAAAATTCAAAGAAATGAAAACCTAGGACATTGATGATGGCGAAGTTACAACCGTACATGTACATCATCTGCTCAGTGCTAAAAGGGCATATACTCTGTATTAACATATAAGAGTTAGTGCCCTTCTGGCTCCAAACAGACAACAAAATCCCTCGCTCTGATTGGGAAACGATTTTAAAGATAAAGACAAGTTCTGGTGATTGCATTGTGAAAGAAACGTTGTGGAATCGATCAGAAAAGGTTGATCATCTAGCATATAAGTATTGGTGTGTACTGCAAAGTTCTGGAATCATCAAAATGATAAGAAATTTGGCCCATTCTTGGTAAAGTTACAAGCACTGTACACAGAAAGATGTATATGGGACTAGGCACATGTGTGCAACACGTGCGTTTATCTCTCACAGTCCAATAGATAAACTAATTTACCAAATATATCAATTAGTAGGCGGTTTCCCTGCAACATTTTTATCATCATGTATTAGTCAAAACATATTCTGTCACATGATTGGTAATAAAGAGCTTCCATTTCATTTTTTGAAATTGGGGCGTTTCCAATACTGGTCTTTACCTTTAAAGAATGAATACATCTAGACGGACGATTTTCATACCTGAATAACATTTTCTTTGGTTGTGGCTTCACCAATACCCTGCACCAAGCCCTCAAAGGCAACCTTTATCCTCTCATCTCGCTTGTCTCGATCCATTGCATAGTAACGACCCATGACCGTTGCTAGGGAGCCATATTGTAGTTCAGCGAGGTAGTCTTGGGTTTGTTTCAGGTACTTCACTACAAATCCAGAATTAAATTGGAGATTATTGACTGATTGATTGATTTTTATTTCATTTTCATATAACAATTGTTTGCACAATTAAGAACATAGTTGACAAAATACGATAAAAATTATGAAAATGAAACAGGAACTTACTGTAAAGCATGGCTTGTTTTTGTAGGTTCCCAAGAATAAATATAATATGAACATTATTTTCATAAATCATTTTTAAAGTGTCTTAATAATCACAGTAAAATAGATATAATATAATAACATTTCCATAAACCATTTTAAAGTATCTAAATAATCAAAATATACAAAACAGAAAAGAATGACAAAACGGGACACAAAGGACAGAAAACTGACATAATAAGATAAGACAAGACATGACAAAACAATTTATAACAGGACAAGATGAACAAGACATGACAGGAAAAAACAAGACAAAAACAAAGCTGCACTCTTTCTTTTCCTTCTTCTTTATTACTTCATTTGAATTGAAGGCAGGGAGATATGTATTTGTACAGCATAAAGAGTGGAGACACTTGGTGGCTTCGTGAATCAATGGACTACGATAAACTACATTAGGTTCAAATGTCTGAATGATCAAATCTATCAAATAAATTCATGACATATGAAAAGTAAATTGTTAAATGAGCACTTTACTTCACCTACAATGTTTTTCCCAAGTTTCATATTCGGAAGTTTAACTAGGTTTAATTTAAAGAATTTTGGATATTGAATTTGTTTCAAATGAAAATTAATCAGTTATATTTGGGAAGGCAGCATTTTCAAAACTGCCGCCCATCTTCACTTGCTTCCTACCACTTCTCGCATTACCTACAAAATCCTCCTCCTTACTTTCAAGACTTATCATGGTTTTGCTCCTTCATATCTTTCTGAACTCCTTCCTCGATACACTCCTGTCCGGACTTTGCGATCTGCTTCTCAATCTCTCCTCTCTCGGTCTCACACTATTTCATACAAACAATACGGTCAACGTTCTTTCGTTTATGCAGCTGCTTTTCTTTGGAACAATCTCCCCCTTCAAATTCGCAATGCTAGCTCTGTAAATTCATTTAAAACAATGCTAAAAACACACCTCTTTAAGTCTTGTTCCTGAATAGCTCTTTTGACCTTTTGCCTTTTAATATATTTTGTGTAGATAACCGTAGGATACTATTAATTTATGAACTATTTGTATTTTGGTTGTAAGTGATTTGTAATTATGTACATGAATTATTTTCATTTGCAAAGTTTTAATGGTAATTTAAATTGATATAATTTGTAATGCAAATTTTGTTTCCTTTACTTATCAGCTATTTTCTTCTAAACCGCTTAGAGGAAATTTGCAATTTGTGGTATACAAATATCTTATTATTATTATTATTTTAAAGCAGGCTCGAGTACAATGCTATAAAATCACATAGTTCAGCATGAGGACAGCTACCAGCAACTAAAAAGTAATCATGACATTCAACATGTCATGAGCTCAAATAATAGTCATTCAGTCACTTACCAGCACTGGTGGGGCTTGTGTCACGGCCATCACCAAAGAAATGAACAAATGTCTGAGGAACACAAGCCTCCTTCATACCGCCAAGCAGAGCAAACAGATGATTGATGTGAGAATGTACTCCTCCATCGCTTACCTAGTATGTATGAACACAACACAACTCAAGTTGGGTACGAGCAACAATATATTTAATAATTAATGATTTAGTACCCCCCTCCCCCTAAAAAAAAAAAATTTGCTTGTTCATATGATTCAAACATATATTAGAAATATAAAGTTTTTAAGTCAAAAATGGGAAATTTAAGGCTTAGAATATCGTATTTATATGGGGATATTCAGTGCATGGATTAGCTTCTTTTTTTTAGAATCATATGGGGGAGGGGGGGGGGGGGGTTTAAATTTGAATATCGTGCCGACAATTTCGCAATGACTCAGCCAGCCAATAAATAAGCGAAGGGGGGGGGGGGGTAAGAGCACATTTTTTTTGGGTCACCCATGTACACATTTTTAATTTTTTATAAATTATTTTATTTTTATAACAAAAATGAGGGGGGGGGGGGTTTCCTCCAAAACACACACAAAAAAAAAAAAATTGAGGGGGGGGGGGGTCGACCCCCAAACACCCCCCCCCCCCCCCCCCCTGTGTACGTGCCTCCTTAAACCTAACACAAAACCTGAATTGCAACTCTGATCATAACCTTATACCTTTGACGAAAAAAAGCTTGTTGCAATTAAAGGGATTGGGTAACTTTGCCTCAGATTCTTAAAAAAATCCTGGATTTAGCTCATGCTGCAATCATAGTTATAAACCTTTAGGTCATACATGTACATGTTCCATGACTTTTACAAGCCAATCCCCTGTCTAATTATCAATATATCTATAATTGGAATTAGAAATGTCAGAATTTGTTTTCCTGACAGTTTTTATAACACTACAGTCCGTTGGGGAAAATAAGTAAGGTAAAATCGGTCACTCAAAGATTTTTTACTATTTTGAGGCACTTCTTGATCATTTTGAAGCGCGATTTTTTTTTCTTCAGGGCTTCAATATTACACCATATCACAGACACTGATAACACGTAGGGCCGTGCATCTCAGATTTAACATTGTTAAACGATGCCTTTAAACCTTAAACACAAAACCCAGACTGCAACGCTGATCATAACTTTATACCTTTGACCTTATAAAATAAAGCCTGTTGCGGATTGTTGCCGGAGCAATTGTCAGAGGCTCAGAGCACAATGATTAGATGTACAAATAAAGAGGTAAATTCCAAAAGGAGCTAATCCATTTTTGTAACTTCATAGAAAAAAGAAATTGTTTACCAGATTTGTACAGGCGTCTATGGAAAAGTGATATCAGAAGGTACATTTTGTCATAATAGCTCCCAAAATTTAGGTAAATAATTTTGTTGAAATACGGGTACTTACATATATTAAGTGAACAATGTTTTCGATAACTCAATTTTCATCAAAAATGGATTTAGCTCCTTTGGGAATTAAGCTCTTCAAATGCAGATCAATGTCTTACCAAACCAAGCAAATGCATCCTGCCGTTACCCGCTTTGGCTCTCTGACAAGCGTTCAGGTAAGCCTTCTGAACGAAAAGCGTCCTTTCCTTGATGGCTAGGTCTATCTTAACGATACTCTGGTACATCGCACGGCCAGCTCCAATGGTCAGGTGACCGACCTCGCTGTTACCCATCAGGCCTTCTGGCAGACCGACCGCGTGGCCAGAGGCGTCCAGGGAGATGAACTGATGGGACGTCTGGAGTTCATCCATGACTGGGGTTTTGGCATTCAGGATGGCATTACCTGTACAGGAAGATTAGAGGCGTGTTTAATCGTCATGCAAAAAGAAAGAATAGGCCTACTACATCTACATTGCACTAGGATTCCCATTATGATGAAATATCTGTTAATCTGTTAGCATTAACATATATTCTACATAGTCTAGACCTATTATATTTTTCATTTTTAAAATTTAACTATATTTTTATTTAAATCATTTTTAAAAATTATCTTTTTTTAAAAGTCAATAGATTCGCTAAAATACAGTATGTAACAAATTGATGAAAGGATACCTAAACAAACATAACAAAACATAAAACACCGAGCTTGTACTTGTACAGTCGCTAGGAAGCACCTGAAATTTGGCACAGCTACAGAGGATAACTCTTGTAAATGTGCCATTCAGCTTACAGCTTTGTGTTGGGAAAGCTACATGTAAGAGATCATTGGGTGATTGAACAACATTCTACATCTCTGTGAATGCCAACATCACGATGATCAGGTGAATATTGAATAATTAATTATTACCTCTTGGGTCATCTGTGATACCCCAGCCATCAATCACAACCAGACAGACATTCGACATGATGTCTTGATATCAGCAAAACACTCTGCAGAAAAGAGAAAAACAGACATGTAGACTAGTCTAGATCTAGAATTCAATTAAAACATTCAATATTCAATTAAAAGTATACCACTAAAGGCACTATCACTATCAAGCAATATCAAGCCAAAGTGAAATGCAAGTGCAACATCAATCATCAATTTCCATTTCCAACCAAGCACAATCATGACTAGATATTGAAACCATACAGAAAGTCAGAAGCATGAATATTGCAGGCATGTCATAACTTCTATAAAATCAAAATGGGAATCTGATTAAAGTCAACGTTTCAAGTTATAGATCGACCAAAAGGACCAAAACCACTTCACACCAGGCCAGGTTCAGCGATATTCCAGATTAGTTATCCCGGATACGAACCCGGGAAACGACTGGCGTTGTCCGGTGCCAAAACAAACTTGAGCCTGAGCCCGAGCCTGAGCTACCGACTCTCGCTCTCACACTCACAGTCACAGCTCTCTCTAAGTCTAAGTCTAAGTAAAGTTACTCATTTATGATTAAACGAATCGTTTATAAGATATAGTATATCTAAACGACAGTAAATAAACAACATCATCAATATAAAACAACGAATCAGTCACAAAACAGAGGGTTTAAAAATTACCTTCAAGCTCAAGATTCCGTACCGGCAAACTCTGCAGCTGACGGAAGCTATTCCCGTGCGTTGATCCTGGCCGGAATCACGTAGATTATTGGTATCCGAAAAAGGCCAATTTAACGGTGCCAATTTAATGACGACTTTATGAAACTAGCGATTCATTATAGTGTAAAAGGCATGGAGATTGTCGCCGAATGCGAATCCCACTGGTGCGAAAGAGCATTATTCTAAAAACGTATCCGAAGTATATTCATTTTTTTTTACAGGACAAGTTACGTAGTCTCTCATCCAGGGTCATTATTATATTTTTGTTTCTAAATTTTTCCTTTCTTGTTTGCTTCAGTGTTAGAGTATTTTTCGGATTTGTGTTGACCATCGGTCGAGTGCTGTAATAGTAAACAAATCCTGGCTTCATGCACGGTATCAGGGGCGGGGGGGGGGGGGGGCGGTGGGCGGTGGGGGGGGGGGGGGGGGGGGTGGAGGCGGGGAACGTTTTTTTTGGGGGGGGGACACGTCTCCCCTCATTTTTTTTTAAGGGGGATCGTCCCTCCCCCCTCAAAATTTGAAAATGTGCCCCCGAAAAAGGTAGCAAATACTAAAGACTGCAACAAACTTAGGTTCTGGAGGGCCCAAAAGTGCAGCGTGTAGACAAATAAAAATGCAAAAATCTTTTCACTCGGAAGCTACGCTCCCTTGCATAATAACCTTCTAAATGTATAAGTAAATAGGCCTACTGAGCAAAACGAAGTGTGAAAAAAGTTTATTGCTTGTTTTTATACTATAGTTTTGCTAAGAAATGTAATTTTTTAATAAAACCAAAACTTCAAAAATCCGTAAGGGGTAGTCCCTCTCATTCACTATGCTCCCTCGCAATATTGATGGGGGGGGGGAGCTTTGGGGAAGTCCCCCCCTCAAAAAAAATCATTCAAACGTGGTTTATTTCTAATTCGATACCAGTGATTTACAAATGTTGCTGAAATGGCATTTTCCCTGACTTTCCGGGGGCTCTGCCCCCTGGACCTTACGGTCCACTTGCTTCGCTCGGCTTGATCTACCTGATCGTAAATACTTTAGCCAGGACCTGAGTAACATGTAAGAGTGATGGTGATGCGGGTTCTTTTCTGCCCCCCAAACGTTTTTCCTCATTACGCCACTGCTCCCTCGTCCCTCGCATTTTGCCCCCCCCCCCCCGGTCGTGAAAGGAAATCGCCGCCCCTGCACGGTATGCACCATTATCAAATTCGATCTAAACAAAATAATGTCACTGCATCATTCTAAATTCAGTCAGCCTCTTTTGGGCTGCCACGCAAAATAATGTGGAAAACTTTGCGACATTTTAGTCAGGATGTTAAAGCCCGTCTGTACTAGTTTGGCCGGGGGGGGGGGTTAGACCACACAGAGTGGTCACTGACAGGTGGCTATCTCATCAACTCAGCTCTCGATTAACATAACAAAAAGTGGATCATGGGTGACCAACGGGCACCGTTTAGGCGTTGTTTTCTCTCCAGAGGGCCAATTAGCTACAAGTAGTACAGTGGGGATTCTAAAAACAGAAATAGCACGTATTAATATTTGTTCTTCTTCTAATTCCGATATTTACTTCAAGCTTGCTAATATCAACATTATTATTTGTATTCCCGATTTCTTTAGATTTCTTTGGATATATTGTTGTTGATTCTTAATTTTAGAAAACGGTCATTATTCATAAGGGTCATCATTCATATTTAATGACCCCGATTCATAATCGAAAATGAGGGTTGCCATCATAATTATGAGAAGAGGGTCGTACTCGCTATAATACAAAATCGGGTCGAAATTCATAGGCCTAAGGGTCCCTATTCATAATACGAAATAAGGGTCGCTAATACGAGAAGAGGGTTGCTAGTCATAAAAATCACATAGCAAACAAAATGATAAGAAAGGGAAATGTTGGCTGTGGCGTAGCTCTGGGGGGGGGGGGGGGCGACACATGGCCCCGAATATTTGTCGCAAACATTATGAAAATTTACTTTCGTGACAAGACGAGATAGTTTACAAGCAAACCACCTCATCAGGCCCATATAAATAAATATGAATGTCTGACATCTGACTGTCCGAGTCGTCATCATAAGCGTAGAAGGCGAGGGGAAATATTTCATAATGTAGATGTGTTTGTTTTATAATGATCTATCTTGTTTAATGACAATTCACGTCAGCCTTACTCCTCGTTTGTTTTGTTCCCTTTATTGTATTTTTTTATTTTGTTTTGGCTATTTAATGTCATTGACTCTTTATATTTTGTGTGTGAACCTGTATGGATGCATACGTGTATTTGAATAATTAATACGTGTATTTTATCTGTTGCTTAGGATTTATCAGGTCTCGAATTAATTAATATTAACTTTCCTGAACCTGCATGCACATTTGTATTTACATTCCGTTTTTTTTTTTGTGTTTGTTATGTATTCATCATTATATCCTGCCCCCTTGTTGCTACGAGGAGGGCTAGATATCCCACCCCAATTATAAACAAAAACAAATTCATCACGGCATTTATTTTTATTTATTTTTCGCACTAGACCTTATCAAAACCTTCTGACCCATCACCACAAGGCGTCGCTAGACCTTTTTTCAACGGGACGGAGAGGGGGGGGGGGGGGGGGGGTGTAGAGGCCACCGATTATCGACAAAACTAGCCACCAATATTATTACCGACAAATATACTAATGCCAATGTCCCAATATCAACACATTTCACCCTATAAACACGGGGCTAAGAGCTAAATTAACGTGTCAAAGATCTTGAAAGTTGTATTCATGATGTACGAAAATGGATGAATGATTGCTATCTCAAACTAAATGACGATAAAACAGAATTTCTCTTGTTAGGCTCCAGACAACAACTTTCCAAGATTGTTATAACTCATATACGTGTTGGTTCTGTGCACATTGCTCCTTCAGATAAGGCAAGAAATCTTGGTGTCATTTTCGATACAAGCATGTCTCTTGATGCACATATTTCAAAATGTGTGAAAGCTGCCAATTATCATCTTCGTAATCTTCGCGCTATAAGGAAATTTTTAACCCCCCAAACCACTCAACAATTGATTCATGCTTTTGTAACATCTCATCTCGATAACTGTAACTCTCTCCTTTATGGACTTCCTAAATACCAAATTCACAAACTACAAAAGGTTCAAAACGCAGCTGCCCGCCTTGTCACTAAATCTAAACGATCGACCCATACTACTCAAATACTCAAGAAACTTCACTGGCTTCCAATAGAACAGCGTATCAAATATAAAATTCTACTACTCACCTACCGTTCACTAAATGGATCAGTCCCTGAATATATTTTCTCTCTTTTTAATATCTCTTTAAGTTCTCGTGCAGGTATTCGTTCCTCTAATTCAACAAATTTAACACAATTAAGAACAAAGAGGAGTTGGGGAGACAGAGCTTTTACAGCTGCTGCACCCCGGTTATGGAACTCCCTACCCCATTCAATCAAAATGTCAGCCAATCAAAATGTGTTCCAAAAACAATTGAAAACCTATCTAATGTCTGAGTTCCTTAGTTAAGACGTAGTGTATTTCAAAATATGATGTAATTAACGTTGTTGAATTATATTTGATTATGTTAAATTATTTTCGTTCAATGTACTTACCTTGTTAGGCGCCTTGAGTCTCTCTTGGGGTGGATATGTGCGCATTACTTTTTTTTTTCAGTGCGAAAGCTTTGACATTTCATTAAATTGTTAAAGAAAGAAGACGATTCGTTATACCTTTCCCGACTCGTAATCCTATTCTGAATTTAGTTTTCCCCCTCCCACGCGGAGCGCTGAAGCTTTGACATTTCATTAAATTATTAGAGAAAGAAATTCTCAATCGCAGTTCCCGGCCTCTTCCGCTTTGCCTTTTTTTAATTATTAGAGAAAGAAGACGATTCGTTGTAGCGTTCTCGACTCTTAATCCTAGTCTGAATTCAATTCACCCCCCCCCCCCCCTCTCCCGCGCGAAGCGCTGAAGCTTTGACAGTTCATTAAATTATTAGAAAGAGAAGACGATTCGTTGTACAGTTTTCCATTCCTAATCCTTGTCTGAATTCAGTTCCCGGCCTCTTCCGCCTTGCCGTTTTTTTTTATTTATTAGAGAAAGAAGACGATTCGTTGTACCGTTCTTGATTCTTAATCCTAGACTGAATTCAGTTCCCCCCTCCCGCACGAAGCGCTGAAGCTTTGACATTTCATTAAATTATTAGAGAAAGAAGACGATTCGTTGTACCGTTCTCGACTCTTAATCCTAGTCTGCATGAATTCAGTTGCCCCCCTCCTGAGCGAAGCTTTGACATTTCATTAAATTCAACTGGGTTCTTTAATGTACGACTTCGATTCTGGTGTCCTTCCACAGGCTCTA